TGTGTGTGTGTGTGTGTCTATGTCCATTTCTCTGTGTGTGTGTGTGTGTGTGTCTATGTCCATTTCTCTGTGTGTGTGTGTGTGTGTCTATGTCCATTTCTCTGTGTGTGTGTGTGTGTGTGTGTGTGTGTCTATGTCCATTTCTGTGTGTGTGTGTGTGTGTGTCTATGTTCATTTCTGTGTGTGTGTGTGTGTGTGTGTCTATGTCCATTTCTCTCTGTGTGTGTGTGTGTGTGTGTCTATGTCCATTTATCTGTGTGTGTGTGTGTGTGTGTGTGTGTCTATGTCCATTTCTCTGTGTGTGTGTGTGTGTGTGTGTGTGTCTATGTCCATTTCTCTGTGTGTGTGTGTGTGTGTGTCTATGTCCATTTCTCTCTGTGTGTGTGTGTGTGTGTGTGTGTCTATGTCCATTTATCTGTGTGTGTGTGTGTGTGTGTGTGTGTCTATGTCCATTTCTCTGTGTGTGTGTGTGTGTGTGTGTGTGTGTGTCTATGTCCATTTCTCTGTGTGTGTGTGTGTGTGTGTGTCTATGTCCATTTCTCTGTGTGTGTGTGTGTGTGTCTATGTCCATTTCTCTGTGTGTGTGTGTGTGTGTGTGTGTGTGTGTGTGTGTGTCTATGTCCATTTCTGTGTGTGTGTGTGTGTGTGTGTCTATGTCCATTTCTGTGTGTGTGTGTGTGTGTGTGTGTCTAGGTCCATTTCTCTCTGTGTGTGTGTGTGTGTGTCTAGGTCCATTTCTCTGTGTGTGTGTGTGTGTGTGTGTGTCTATGTCCATTTCTCTGTGATTCGAGGATTGTAAGCATTGACTTTTGAAGGAGTTGCTCCTGTACTTTACCTAAAACCAGGAAAGAGTCGTGCAGATCTCCTTTGACCTCCTTGCGGACGCTCTCCTGCATGTCGTACGGGCTGTAGCTCTTGTAGCGGTCGAACACTGACATCAAAACACAGCATCAGCCTCAGTCTCCTCCAGCTGTGGTCAAATCACAAATATATCTTTGTACCTTTCCGCAGATGTGGCACGCTCCTCTCCGTCATCACCGAGATCCACGTGGGGACATCGGTGCCTTTGATTTTCACACCAGATTCATACAGTTTCTGTGGGTAATTAAAAAAGAAAAACAGGCATCACTTAATGAACTTAAAACAACATTAACAATGCATCAGTTTCATACAGCGCCTTTTTGGACACTCACAGACGCTGCACATTCATTCACTCACTACACTCCATACACTACTGTAGCCACAGCTGCCCCGGGGCTCACCGACAGAAAGGAGGAAACCAGTCTGTGTCATCGGCCCCTCCCACCACCACCAACCATTCACACACACACCAGACTCATTCTAATGTGGGGGAAGTGTCTTGCCTGAGGACACAACCACAGTTTGGCACTTTACAGCCGCAGCCGCCCCGCTGTGGCACCTGCTGTTCCCAGAGGTCTTCCACCACAGCACTAACCAGGCCCTGCCCTGCTTAGCTCCGACGGGATAGCATGCAGGCCTGGTAACTATGGTAACTTACTCTTGCATCTTGGTCGATCTTTTCATAGTCGACGATAGAAGAAGGTTCGTCTCTGTTCGTCTGTGGAGAAATATGTGTTATTCAAGATGGCTTCTTCACACACTTCATAAATACACAAAAAACAGATCTATTGTGTCTGCGTAGGTTTCCTCCAGGTGCTGCAGTTTTCCCTACCACTAAAAAGGTGTAAAGTAGTTCCGGATGAATGAGTGTGTGTTTGTGAGAGCGACTGTGGGACAAGGGAACAGTGCATTTAGACCACCTGCTGTTCGTTAATGTCCCATCAATAAATATGTGTTTATTCTTAGAGCTGTAGAGAGCTGTTCCGGGTCAAAACAGGGTCGAAGACAGTGGTGATGATCCAGAACATTCCATGTCCAACCACATTTATGGACCAATGTCTCTCTGGGTTTGCTATCGCTGCATTTCGTTTATTTGAACTGTTTGATTTTTCTGATCTGTGTTCGCAAACCCTCCGAGATAATGTGAGGTGTATGTTTTAATTGCTGCATTTTTATAATTGTATGACTTTTTATTATTATATGACCTGGACCGTACGCGCGCTCTGATTGGCTGATTACCGGTCTGATATTTTCCCATCTCAAACCGTTACCATGACAATTGGTCCGAACAGTGCGTATCACAAAAAAGAAATAATGGGCGACAACTGGGAGCATTCTCAGTGAATTCTATTATCGGACGAGTTTGACGAGCCAGAGGAAGAAATTACAGAAAATAATGAAGAAAAAATAACTAACAGACAAGATGAGATTGACAACTTCATCGCAGACCAGAAAGCTAAAAACACGATTAGGAAAACCAAGTCAGAGATCGATATTTGCATAAATTAAAAATATCCATCCATCCATTTTCTTCCCCTTAATCCATTTCTGGGTCGGGGGGTGGCAGTCAGAGCTGCACCCTGTACACATAGCACCAGCCCCTTATTAAAATTAAATTTAAATTAAAAATAGTCATATAATAAAACATTTATTAACCTCGCTTGCTCGGTCTGTGCAGAGAAATATCAGACCGATATTGACCCTGATATTTCCCCATACAGACCTCGCGCTCAGTTAATAAGCTGTTATTATTATCTTTAGGGAGATAAAGAATTCAGATACTTGGCTAATTAAATGTTAGTTAAAGTGGTTCTCACCCCCGCTCCTCGGAGTTTACGTTACTCACATTTCCTGTTCAAATCTTCCTCTAAATGGGCGTAGCCTGGAGGACTAAAGGGGGCGTGAACGAGACTGGGCCGTTTACATTGCTCTGGGCGGGGGGCTGCTGACGTCAGGTCCAACTTGCTGACGTCAGGTCCAACTTCTGTGCCAGTGTTGGCGCCAGATTCAAAATTCAAATGTAGTAATACAGGTCGCCTGCAGATGGCGCCTCACAGACGGTTTTTGGCAGAAAGTCTAACTTTCAACTAATTTGCACCAAAGTGACAAGATTATGACCAGGATATGTAGACAACACTATTGGACACTCATTTATACCGTTTATCAGCAAAAAAAAGTGGATTTGAGGGTGAGTTGTCCTTTAATGCACTATGTCCCTGTCAAAAAACAAAACATAAACCTGTAATTTATGACGCAACTGTGGCATTGGTTGGTATTTCTTTTGTCCAGTTAAAAATGACTATTATGACATTTTGATGACTGTGAGTGTGCTTAGTGGACTGGTACATGCCTGGACAAGGGCCAGCAGCAGTTTCCTAAAGTCTCCGGACACGTCTCCTTTAACATCGTCCTCCAATTTTTTCTTGAACACTGCAGACAGAGACAGAAGGCGTTTGTGAGTATATAAATAAATGTGACAAACACCTTCACTCACACTCTTGATACGCCGTTTTAATTTCCTCCAGTTCTGCTTTGCTGCGAGAGCACAGGAGCTCGATCAGCGTCTCTTCATCTGTTCCCAGGCCCTGGATTCACAAAAAGAAATATTACGAGGCGATACCGTGTTTGACCAGGAGAGGGCAGTGTTGGCCTGAGTTTAAACCAGTCTTTTACCCACGTTTTTAAACATAATCCCTACATTCACACAGACATATGGCGTGCAAGAAAACGACAAAAAAACAACAAATAAAGCAAACCATAAGTGTAAAATAACAAAATAAAGGATGTAAACAAGTGAAAACAAAATTAGATAGATGCATGTATATATAAAGAAGGGAACAAAAAAAAAAGACATACAAATAATAACACAATACAAATCAGTAGAATCAATAAACATGTTAAACCACAGTCCTGACCTTCATGGAGCCTCTGATCTCTGAGGCGTCGAACTGCACAGGGCTTTTCATGAGACCCAGGATCACAGCTTCCAGAGACCCAGACAGAGCCTTCTTCAGAGCCAGGATCAGGTCCTGAAAACACATTCATTCAACAAAACTAGAGGAAAGACTTTTTTAATGTTGTGCTTACCTTCTTTTCTCTTCTTTCATAAGCGAATGCGATGTCTCTTCTTTGGGCATAGGTCCTCTTGGTTAAAATGTCAATAATAGTTTGTTCGTCCACTCCTGGAAGGGAAAGAGACAATGGTTGAGGATTAGAAAATGGCCGATCCAACACATCAGCATTGAACAGTCAATCCTCAGTAGTCGTTTTTGATGGTGGTGCTTGGAATGTCAAAGGATTTTATAGTTAAACAATAGCATTTCTCACAATATATTTATAAAAGCAATGCTAACAGCTAGCACAGATTCTGGAAAATGTGTCCAGTATATATTTTTACTTTTCTCTCATGTAATACAGTCCAGGACCAGATGGTACTTTTAAATATGAAAATATGTTTTGAAACGGCCGGCTTTAACAGTGAACCACCATCAAAATGTAATGGTCGAATCAGAATACTGTCTTCTGAATATTTGAGGACTTTGAGTACTTTCTTGCTCATTCAAAATACACAAACCCCCATTTAATACATCCATGACGACAACACGCTGATTTAAATGTGAACTTTAATGACTTGCCACACTGTACTTCTTCAATATTGTAAAAGAAGCAGTGTTCTGAATCCCAGCTCAACATTTCAATCATTTCTACACACAATAGAGACACAGTATATCTTCAATAACTCTAAAGCAATAAGAAAATACTTGGTTTTTCACCAGATATTCCCTCTGGTCTTTTAGACTTGAGTCACGAGCATCAACGTGACCCTGGGCTTTCCACATGGTCTAAAACAGAAGGAACCAAGTCTATGTCCTCAATTCTTCAAGCTTAGACTAAACTCTTGAATAAATGGGTGGAGTCCGGTGTGCTCCTGCTTAGTTGGAATGAAAACCAGCCTCTCTGTTCTGTAAGGACCGAATTGATTCTTTTTTTGTGTGTGCTATTTGCAGTAAAACCACATTGGAATACATGTGCTGAAGTCCCCAGTGTGCACCAGACAAGTAAAAAGAAGTAATAGCCCTGGTTTAAAAATACTCCATGACTCAGAAACATAACTTAGAATGGGAAATGTAAACAACACCTTTCGTTTTGATCGCAGTGTCTATCCTGGCTGCGTCTTTGTCAGCGTCAAACCCTCCGTACGCCACCACTGAGGGGAACTTTGGCTCCATCTAACAGAGGAAATGGTTAACAGTTTAAATGCATAACACACAGACGTTAGCGAAAAGCTGTATACAATTACCGGATTATTGAGACTGAGCTGCCCCAGGAACTCCGACACCATAGCCATTGTGATGAATCTGGAGAGAGGAAAGATGTTCCGGGTAAAATGACTGTAAACCTGGTCTCAGAAATGTCAGAGGTCAAATGTAGATGACATCAACAGCGGCGATTAAAAACAGAATTAAACTGCTTTAGTTACAAACACTGTCTTTGCTGTGGTCATTCAAAGCTCTGCCCTAAGTCTCAGTCAGAAAAACAGAGCCACGCCCGAAGCATGAATCTGTACACACACTACAAAGACACATATTTCACATTCTTGTCACTTCCCAGCTAAAGATCCAGTGCCAAGTTCTAAATGACCTCAAATGCATGAAAGAATACTGTCAGACTGACCGGTACTTGGCTGACTTTTACACCTGAAACTAAACAGCAAAAATCCAGTTGTCAATAGTAGTAGTTAGTAGTACTTACCGTAGTAATAGTTAAAGCAGGTGTAGATTTCTGTACAGGCAGTTGAAAGTTTGAATGGTGGATGTTGAAAGCAGTGTTTTGTCGAGAAACAGACTTCCCTTGTTGGCTCCTCCCCTTTCCATGGGCTCATCCCTCCACCCAGTTCCACAGGAATCTGGAAACTACACTCCTCCAGCCACACGGCCTTCATCTTACTCCCAAATGAACAACTGAAGGTTTCACGGTTTCGTTTATTTCATATTTTCAGGATACACAAATACATCCTTCTGTACAGTAGTATGTAAATGTATTAATATCATTAAACTGCCACAAGTTAATTATTTACTTTTTTAAACTTAGCATTTTGTTGTTTTTTTTTCTTTTTCTTCTTCTTCTTTGTGTGTTTGTTTTGGGCCTTTCTGTTTCCGGGTTGTGGTCCGGCTTTAGGCAGCTGAAAGTACAAGCACATGAGAAGGAATGAGAACAAGTCGTCTGCTCTAATGACACACACACAGAGACAGACACACACACAGAGACAGACACACACAGAGACACACACAGACACAGAGACAGACACACACACACACACACACAGAGACACACACAGATACAGAGACAGAAACACACACACACACACACACACAGACAGACACACACAGACACAGAGACAGACACACACAGAGACACACACACACAGAGACAGACACAGACACACACACAGACACACACACAGACAGACACACACAGACACAGAGACAGACACACACAGAGACACACACAGACACAGAGACAGAAACACACACACACACACACACACACACACAGAGACAGACACAGACACAGAGACACACACAGAGACAGAAACACACACACACACAGACAGACACAGACACACACAGAGACACACACAGACACAGACAAGAGACACACACAGACACACACAGAGACACACACACACACACACACACACACAGACACACACAGAGACACACACACACACACACACACACACGCACACACACACACAGACACACACACACACACAGACACACACCTGGGGTAAAGAATGAGACCGGATTCTGATGAATGTCAGCAGTAAACAGTGACAGAGACTAGTTTCACCACTTTTCTGTTGTGTTTGCGCCGCTCCTGTCCCCAGACTAAACCCAGACCAAACCCAGACTAAACCCAGACTAAACCCAGACCAAACCCAGACTAAACCCAGACTAAACCCAGACTAAACCCAGACTAAACCCAGACCAAACCCAGACCAAACCCAGACTAAACCCAGACTAAACCCAGACTAAACCCAGACTAAACCCAGACTAAACCCAGACCAAACCCAGACCAAACCCAGACTAAACCCAGACTAAACCCAGACTAAACCCAGACTAAACCCAGACCAAACCCAGACTAAACCCAGACTAAACCCAGACCAAACCCAGACCAAACCCAGACTAAACCCAGACCAAACCCAGACCAAACCCAGACTAAACCCAGACTAAACCCAGACCAAACCCAGACTAAACCCAGACTAAACCCAGACCAAACCCAGACTAAACCCAGACCAAACCCAGACTAAACCCAGACCAAACCCAGACCAAACCCAGACCAAACCCAGACTAAACCCAGACCAAACCCAGACTAAACCCAGACTAAACCCAGACTAAACCCAGACTAAACCCAGACTAAACCCAGACCAAACCCAGACCAAACCCAGACTAAACCCAGACCAAACCCAGACCAAACCCAGACTAAACCCAGACCAAACCCAGACCAAACCCAGACTAAACCCAGACTAAACCCAGACTAAACCCAGACCAAACCCAGACTAAACCCAGACCAAACCCAGACCAAACCCAGACTAAACCCAGACCAAACCCAGACCAAACCCAGACTAAACCCAGACCAAACCCAGACCAAACCCAGACTAAACCCAGACTAAACCCAGACTAAACCCAGACCAAACCCAGACTAAACCCAGACTAAACCCAGACCAAACCCAGACTAAACCCAGACCAAACCCAGACCAAACCCAGACTAAACCCAGACCAAACCCAGACTAAACCCAGACCAAACCCAGACCAAACCCAGACTAAACCCAGACCAAACCCAGACCAAACCCAGACTAAACCCAGACTAAACCCAGACTAAACCCAGACTAAACCCAGACTAAACCCAGACTAAACCCAGACTAAACCCAGACTAAACCCAGACCAAACCCAGACTAAACCCAGACCAAACCCAGACCAAACCCAGACCAAACCCAGACTAAACCCAGACCAAACCAGCTCTTATCATTATTATTATTATTATCATTATTAATATTATCATTATTAATATTATCATTATTATTATTATTATTATTATTATTAGCTTAGCTGGTGTAGCGGGGACACTGGCGACACACAAACCCACCGGAGTGACCTCTGCTGGGGGAAAGGTGCAGGGGACGCGGCCGCTGCAGAGGTGGAAGCGCAGGCAGACGGATGGGTCCAGGGGTATCCAGGGAGGGAGGGCGGAGGAGGGGGGCCGAGGAGCGCCACTGTGGGCCAGCTGGAGGTCATACACGCCCTGCCTGCCATTGCCATGAGCGGCCTTCAGTATGTTCACAAAGGGCTCGCCGACCTTGTGCCGGAGCAGGTAGTGCCCTTCATCCAACCTGCAAACCGACACACAAGCTTTTTACTTTGTGTGACGCTGAAACACAATGTCATGTAAACTAACAAGACCTCGTTAACTGCAAAATACTTCAAATAATGTTAAAGTGGGGGGCGACAGTAGTTCAGTAGGTAGAGCACTAGTCTTTGGACCCAATGCTTGTGGGTTTGAGCCCACCACGACCCATGTCACCTGCTTCCACTGATGTCTGCCGTTGTTGTGTCCCTGGGCAAAACCCCACATTGCCTGAAGCCCCCGGTGAAAGACCGAGGCCATCTAGTCGATGACAGAGAAGCCATCTTCCCGTGGACCCACCCCCTGCAGGAGGATCAGTGAGGGACTGGTGCTATGAGACTTGGGTGGCAGCTCTGATTGTCACCCCCGACCCAGAAATGGACTAATAAATGCGTAGGTTTCCTCCGGGTGCTCCGGTATCCCCTACCACTAAAAACATGTCCAATAGGTCTGGCATGTGCCTCCTGTACTGGCCCCGCTCCCATCTCTGTGTGGAGTGAGAGACAAATGCCCAAAAAAATAACAATTGTAAACCGCTTTGTGACTCTGGCGGTTTATAAATAAAGATTACTTACTTACTTAATAAAGGGGAAGATAACGACATGACATAATGACATAAAGTGTGCTCCCAGAAGGTCTTCAAAAGTATTCTTAACTTCAAAAAAATAAGCACAATATGGTTTAAGAGATGCCAGTACATTTATGTTGCCAAAAGTTAGAAAATCTCTGTTGTTTCACGTGGAACAGCCTCAGCAATCTGCTTTTTTTGTATTTAATAAAAAATGGTCACAGCCCTGGACGGGTACGAACTGAATGATTTTGTTGAACTTGTCTGATACTTGTGTGTTTATTCTTTGAAATATGACTCACATGAATATATAGTGGGCGCACACGTTTTTGCTTCTGCCCTAATGACAATAAATGAACTGAAACTGAAGTGAACTGAGAGAACTACGCCTCAAACACCAAAGGGCTTTTATTGTAGCAACTCACCCAAATCTATCGTTACACACGGAAACAACTTACCCAATTAGCTTCTGAAGGATATGATGGAGAATGTTGAGCGACTTTGAAGGCCTGCGGATCAAACAACCTGGAATTATTATATTATTATTAATATTATAAAAATCAGCTCTCTCTTAGGTCATTGTAGAGGTGTGGACTCACAAAACAGATTTGACACATTTGGTTCAGTCTCAACTCAAACAAATCAAAACAATGATCGCACACTGCAAAGTTAGAAGCTAGAGTAATCGTAGTTACACAAAAATCAGATATTGATGCAAAAACTGGAATTGAGACTAGATAATAACATGAAAACTGGGCATGTCCTGATCACTGTTAGAACTAGAGAAATGTTGTAGTACCATAAAAAGTACTCATATTTTCTACTGTTATTATGTATTATATTTTCGCCCTTTTGTCCAAAAAGAAAACGTTAACTGGGCGGGTTTCAGTCTTTTCACACAGTCCTTGTTGGTCGCAGCTGCACTCACTTGAATCCGCAGGTGAGGTTGTAGCCCCAGTTGTCTGGAAGCTTCCGCAGCAGTCTCAGTCTGGATGTGAGGGCGTCGATGTGAGCTGCGGAAACACAGAGACACACTTAACTGCAACACTAAAAGTAATCTTTAGTAATTTTTATTTATATACCGCCTTTTCACTGCACATCGGAGTCTCAAAGCGGTTTACAATTGTGATTTTTTTGGGAGTGGGGGTGCCAGTACAGGAGGTCCATGCCAGAACTATTGTACATATTTTTAGTGGTAGGGGAAACCGGAGCACCCGGAGGAAACCTACGCAGCCACGGGGAGAACATGCAAACTCCACTCAGAAAGGCCCTGGTCCAACCAGGATTCGAACCCAGGACCTTCTTGGTGGGAGGCACGGTGGCTGAGTGGATAGCACTCTCGCCTCTCAGCAAGAAGGTCCTGGGTTCGAATCCCGGTCGGACCAGGGCCTTTCTGAGTGGAGTTTGCATGTTCTCCCCGTGTCTGCGTAGGTTTCCTCCGGGTACTCCGGTTTCCCCTACCACTAAAAATATGTCCAATAGGTCTGGCATGCGCCTCCTGTACTGGCCCCTCCCATCTCTGTGTGGAGTGAGAGACAAATGCCCAAAAATTAACAATTGTAAACCGCTTTGAGACTCAGATCTGCAGTGAAAAGGCGGTATATAAATAAAAACTTACTTACTTCTTCCTGAGAGGCGAGAGTGCTATCCACTCAGCCACCGTGCCGCCCTAAAGAGATATTTCTGAACTTTACACACAGTAACCACACTCCTCCGTCCTCAGGTTCGGCTGCAGTGGTGCATGCTGGTCCGTTCCCGCTGTCTCCTACTTGAACTAATGCCCACTTTCAATCCAAGTTACGAGCTCGCAGCCAGAACCACAAATACACAACATGTTTTTCCTTCTTTCATCAATCATAAAGTTTAAACAGGAGTCTCCAGCCTTTCTCCCCAGAGAGCTTCTTTCTCAAGACCAAAATGTGTGGCGTTACTTTTTAATACAGGTTTTGTTTGCATTTCCAATAGAGGTGTGAATTATGCATTTTGGAATATTTATGGCATATTTATAGCAATTCTAAATCCTTTGGGGAACCACTTGCAACACGGTGGCGAGCAACTGCTAGATCCGAAGCGATAGATGTCCTGCAATTGTTGGTCCCTCTCTACAGGGGCCACTACTGTGTCCTGACTGACCAATCGAGTGTGACATGTGGGTGACATCACAGCTGATATATACAGTGCCTTGCGAAAGTATTCGGCCCCCCTTTCGCCACATTTCAGTCTTCAAACATAAAGATATAAAAATTTAATTTTTTGTCATGAATCAACAACAAGTGGGACACAATCGTGAAGTGGAACGAAATGTATTGGATAATTTAAACTTTTTTAACAAATAAAAAACTGAAAATTGGGGCGTGCAATATTATTCGGCCCCTTTACTTTCAGTGCAGCAAACTCAGTCCAGAAGTTCAGTGAGGATCTTTGAACGATCCAATGTTGTCCTAAATGACTGATGATGATAAATAGAATGCACCTGTGTGTAATCAAGTCTCCGTATAAATGCACCTGCTCTTTGATAGTCTCAGGGTTCTGTTTAAAGCACAGAGAGAACCATGAAGACAAAGGAACACACCAGGCAGGTCCGAGATACTGTTGTGGAGAAGTTTAAAGCCGGATTTGGATACAAAAAGATTTCCCAAGCTTTAAACATCTCAAGGAGCACTGTGCAAGCAATTATATTGAAATGGAAGGAGTATCAGACCACTGCAAATCTACCAAGACCCGGCCGTCCCTCCAAACTTTCATCTCAAACAAGGAGAAGACTGATCAGAGATGCAGCCAAGAGGCCCATGATCACTCTGGATGAACTGCAGATAACTACAGCTGAGGTGGGAGAGTCTGTCCATAGGACAACAATCAGTCGTGCACTGCACAAATCTGGCCTTTATGGAAGAGTGGCAAGAAGGAAGCCATTTCTCAAAGATATCCATAAAAAGTCTCGTTTAAAGTTTGCCACAAGCCACCTGGGAGACACACCAAACCTGTGGAAGAAGGTGCTCTGGTCAGATGAAACCAAAATCGAACTTTTTGGACTGTATATACGGATACTCACTTACATCCTGCTTCTGCTAATCTACCCCTCATAGCCCTGTCCTGTTTTTACATCCTGCCAACTTCTGCACTTTATACACTATCACGGTGATGCTCCAAATTTAGTTTTGTTGTTTTTGTGACAATGACAATTAATTCCTGAATCTTGATCTCTCTCCGTCTGTGGACCCTCTCCCTGACCCCATTTAGCCGAGGGCCTCCTGAGGACCTCTCTCTCTCGGTCTTTGTGTCCATGTATGCTTTATTTTCAGTCTCTATATGCACATTGTAACTGTTTAGTGTCAATAAATGTCCTCTTAGATATCCATTTAGTTTATGCCTAAGCACATAGATATTACATCATCTGAATACCTCACCTTTACTACAAGTGTTATGTATTTCTGAATATAGTCACTATTGAAAAGTCAGGTTACGCCTCACTAACCTCTGGTACAGAAAAGATGACGTATGTTGACACGTGATGCTAAAGGCTACAATCATGTTCAGTTCACTGTGGGACTAATAAAGGCAGTCCTTCAGTTTAAAAATGTAGTTTACCCAGATTACATGAGATTGTGCAAAAGTATGATTTATCTTTCCCCTAACCATGTGTATTGCGTCTCCATGACAACAAAGTAAACTGAATTACCACAGCGGCACAGCAAGAATGAGTCACTCTTCCTCACTGGAGTGTGGGAGGGCCAGCAAACCCGAGTGCTCTTACTCATCAGCCTTTAGCAGAACAGACGCCACTTTTTTGGTGTGTTGCTTCATTTTGCAAACTTTAGTTCGTTTTGGTGATTGTTGCTACAGAAGGTTAAGTAGGAGATTTACCCTAAAGCACAAACAAACAAGGCTTAAACGACTTTAACGACTTTAACGGGTTAATAATGACCAGAGGGAGAGCGCTAGCCTGGTCTTATCCATCCGTACTCTCCGCTCAATCGTCAGGTCCTGCTGTAACGTCTGGGTCTGGTCCCTGTGTTTGAGATTGCAATCGGTTGAATTCCATCCGACCAATCAGAGAGCGCGGGAGGCGGGTGTTGTAGTTAGTTGTGGGTGACGTCAAGATTTTGTAGTTTGACGAAGAATGTGATAAAAGTAAAGTAATCCGGTCTGGTTCTAACCTTGCCTGCAAGCTGAATTCTCGCGGTATTTGTGAGTTCACAAACACTCGAGAATACATCTTGTCCCGCTCCAGCCAACCCTTTTCGAGTAGAACATCTAGGTGTTCAAGCCAATCACGCGCCAGTCTGGGGGTTTAGGGCGGGATATCCGGGTTTGACGAAAGCAAGAAGTGCCGGGCCGAAGCAAAACAAACATGGCTACGCAGGAGGACGGACGCGTAGCTGAGGCTATCAAGTCAGTTTTAGCAGAATCTCCAATTTCTTTTTTGAAAGATGAACAGCGAGAGGTGCTTTGTGCATTTCTGGACGGCAAAGATGTTACCGGGATTGGTTTAAGTCAAACCTTGGTAGGCGGGCACACAGCGTCACTTTGACCAATCAGCTTGAAGTATTCTGCTGCTTATCCCTCCTTTCCCCGATAGGATTCTCCTGCAGAAGTCCCAGATTGATTTTGTGGAGAACGCATTAGAGTTCTACACAATCATCAATCTGGCTCTTGCCAGGTTTGTCTGGTTCTATCAAGAAATTGAAGCTGGAGCAAGAGGAATGTTTAGCAAATGTAATCGCTGCAAAGATTGTGGCACTGCTCCCCACGGGCTCTGTTAGCGGCAAAGGAGATGGCTAAAGCTAGGCTAAATGCTAACGACTCACTGGGGCGCATTACAAACGTGACAGTAAACTTAGATCCAATGGTTTCAATCTGTAAAAGGAGTTAACCCCTCCCACCTGTTCACGGAGTCAATGGAGCAAATCCAGACCTTAGTACCAAATGTAATTTGTACTATGGTGTGGTAAGACCAGGCTAGGAGAGCACTACTGACCAGAGGGATAATCTGGAAGAAATATCAGACCTTGAGGCTGCGGTCTGATATTTCTCTGTACAGACCTCGCGTCCGTTTAATAAGCCGTTATTATGGTGGTTTTCCTGAGACGGTAGGTTTTAAAATGAAGTGAAACATGCCATAGTCGCCCCTTACTATCAATACAACAGCGATATAGATAGTTCATAATCATTCCAGGGGCCACTAAAAATTGCCTCCTGGCCGAATTTGGCTCACAGGCCCGAGTTTGACCTGCCTGGTTTAGACGGAGCAACACTTATTACTAATGTTTTGGGCTGAGATCTGATTGGCTGCTTCAGGGGTGCCAGATCCAGAGTTCTGTGGAAGTGACAACTCAAGATGCAATGCGGGCTTTGTGAGTCGGTCTAAGAACCAGTTAGACCGACGTGAATAACTCCCGCCTCTTTCACACAGAAGCTCAGGTATCCCAGCTTTAACACAACACATGCCAAGTCTGCTGGGTTTTTTTGTTTTACCGATGAAAGAGTGAGTTCTGGAGTGAAGTAGTCGCTCGGTCCAGAGTCGACACGCCTCGCTGCTGCTCAGGCATTCCACGCCGTACGTCATCTGGTACTCCGTCTTCGTCAGGATGTGTAAAGGCACGCACTGCAGAGAGAAACGTTAGCAAGTGATCAGTCTCTTTCATTTAACGTGTAAACATTTAAATCTATAGTGACTTAAAATATTCTAATTCATAACTTATAGAATAATATAATACATGATCTGTCCTGTTTTACCATGGGAAATAAATGTTGATGATCTGGCACCTGGTCTGGAACCTGGTCTGGTTCTGGTTCTGGTTTTGGTACTTAGTCTGGTTCTTGCACTTGGTCTGGTTCCGGCAGCTGGTCTGGTTCTGGTTCTTGCACTTGGTCTGGTTCTGGCAGCTGGTCTGGTTCTGGCACCTGGTCTGGTACTGGCACCTGGTCTGGGTCTAGTTCTGGTACCTGGTCTAGTCTGGTACCTGGTCTAGTTCTGGTACCTGGTCTAGTTCTGGTACCTGGTCTGGTACTGGCACCTGGTCTGGTACTGGCACCTGGTCTGGTACTGGCACCTGGTCTGGTACTGGCACCTGGTCTGGTACTGGCACCTGGTCTGGTACTGGCACCTGGTCTGGTACTGGCACCTGGTCTGGTACTGGCACCTGGTCTGGGTCTAGTTCTGGTACCTGGTCTGGTACTGGCACCTGGTCTGGTACTGGCACCTGGTCTGGGTCTAGTTCTGGTACCTGGTCTAGTTCTGGTACCTGGTCTAGTTCTGGTACCTGGTCTGGTTCTGGTACCTGGTCTGGGTCCGGGGCGTGGCTCAGGGAGATGGAGGACCGCACCATCAGCAGCAGCTGGTCCAGGCTGAACAGCTGGTAGCAGACGTTGTCCTGCTCTGGACTCTCGTAGTCGCCCTGGTCCTCAGACGCCGCCTGCAGATCCGGGGCCAGGAGCTCTGTGTTCGGACACGTTTGAGACAAACTGAAACTACTGGAACTCCCAGAGCAGTCAATTTGACGGCTCCCATTCAAACCAATGGGTTTCTGAATAAACCTCAAAAAAGGTTTTCCACCAGTTCTTTTTTAAAAGTAAGATTTTTAGCTTTACTCATTTTTAATGCATTTTAATTTTTATGCATGCTTTTGATTTTATTTGGATTTAACTTGTTTGCACCGAGAGCCAAAGAAATTTCCTAGTTTGTGACTTCCTGTTAAAAAGGATTCTGATTTTAATAAGTGATGAAACTGGTGAATATGTAACTTCAAATACTCTCCCAAAGTCAAGAACCAGTTTAGAACAGGTCTAGATATAGTCTAGACCCAATCAAGGAACCAGTTCAGAACCAGTCCAGGACCAGCACTTTGAATGGGGCAGACAAAATGACAGCTTTGGGAGTTAAAGGTAGAACTAATAGCATTTCTAATCATTTCCTAAAAACAATGAAACAAAACTAAACTACACATAGATTCAGAAAAAGTCCTAAAAATGCACATGAACTGAGTCATTACAAAAATTGCAGCCGTCAAACATATGACAGACACAATATTGTGATTCAACTTTGCCACTTGATGAACTCACTATAAGTAAGTAATCTTTATTTATATACCGCCTTTCACAGACCAGAGTCACAAAGCGGCTTACAATTGTTATTATTTTTTGGGCATTTGTCTCTCACTCCACACAGAGATGGGAGCGGGGCCAGTACAGGAGGCACACGCCAGACCTATTGTGCATGTTTTTAGTGGTAGGGGAAACCGGAGTACCCGGAGGAAACCTACGCAGACGCGGGGAGAACATGCAAACTCCACTCAGAAAGGCCCTGGTCCGGCCGGGATTCGAACCCAGGACCTTCTTGCTGAGAGGCGAGAGTGCTATCCACTCAGCCACCGTGCCGCCCTGTGCCTACTATGAATGAATAACCAAAACATGGTAAAGTCAGAGATTTTAGACTGGCTTCTTTATTATGCTGAAGATAGAGATTTCATTTTATATTAAAGACCTTATGCCGGGTTTAAAAAAAAAAATGTGGATATCAAAATTGCATGACAATGTTGATCTGAAATAGATTCGGGCAAAAAAAATCCTTTATTTAATAAAAAGAACGTGTTTTTCATGAATTTAAGCTGTCTATGCTCTAACCTGTGTGTGACGTCATAGCGGGTTACGCCCATGCATTGAAAACCATGGATCTATGCCACAGGACTGCCTTTTCTCTCTTCTCTCCACTGATGCCCAACACAATACTGCCCTCTACAGGTGACAATTGCTCACTACACATAAATTGCCGTTTGAGAGTGAAAAAGTGTCTGAGGTGGGATTTGAACCCAAGTATCTGGATTGGCAGTCCATCAACACAACCACTGGACTATCTCAGTGACAACGAAGACTTATTATCTAGTATTTATGTCAGACTCGCTGTACACGGTCTTGTCATCTTGAATATCCGCGAAAAAAGAACGAATACCAAATTGTAAACAACTTACAGCGTTGAAACGTACCCACTCTGACGTCACCAAGGGCTGTGAAGTTTTTCCGTTTCTAAGGGCGTTGCTATGGGGTTATTTCGATTTGGGGGGATCAGACAAAAAAAACAACAACTGATTTTGAAACCTTTAGTAGTTCTCTTCTAATATAAAATGGTATTAAAACTGTATTTCTAAATAAATCAAACCTGTCATAAGGTCTTTAATATAGAATTATTGTTCATTTATCTTGTGCTGTGTGCTCCTCATTCTTACTGTTCTGTACCTGCTGATGCAACACTGACATTTCCCCACCGTGGGACACATAAACAGTCTCTTTAATCTCAAACAAACTGACTTTTCCGTGAGGTGGACTTGGCTTCAGCCGCAGAGTGAAGAGCCTCTCCCATGTCGTCTTCCTGATCGGGTTTTCTCTCCAAGTACGAGGTCACGCAGGCCTTCACCAGCGACAGAGCGGTTGGGTGGGAGTGGGCGGGGCCTCTCTGTTTGGAGGCGGGGCTTCTGTCCTGTTGTGGTGCGCCTGAAGATGTGGCCGCGTCCCCTGGTTTTGATTTGAACATCGCGGTTTGCATCTGGAGGATTTCGCCCAGCTGATCTCCGGAACGGCGGCTTTTCCTCTTGCTCCTTGGCTCGGATTCAGGAGTCTGAGGAGGTTTTGGCGATTTGGGCGAAACGTCGTCGATTACCAACGCATCATCGTCAGAATCTCCGCTCAGCAACACACGAGGGTCCATTTCCTGGTCGCAGTTTTGGCTCCGAGCAACTTGAGGTTGAGCAGAATCGACCGGAGAACTCTCCATTTCCTCGTCTGAACCGCAGCTTTCCTTCTTTCTCGAACTCCTGGTCCGGTACAAGATCTTTGGACTCTTTAAACTCGCAGCCTCTTCCGCCGTTTTCGGTTTTACTTTGGGTGTTTTGTTGGACGCATTCTCTCCAAACGTCTCCAGATCGGTTAAGTCCACGTCAAAGTCAATACTGTCGTTGGGTTGCATCGACTTTGATAAAGTGGAGAGACCTCTATCCTGAAAAATAATCAGATAAGATTTTATTCGTCCCACAGAGAATCAAAATAAGAGGGTAAAATAGATTAAAATAAAATAAACTCTGGAGCTATAATTGCACTTGGTTCAGAATATTTACTTTAGCAGCGGAGAATATGAGCAGAATAAACAATAGTAACAATATCATCAGTAAAGTGACTTGTGAATGACAGAAATATCAGATGGATCGATATGTAATGATGCAGTAATAAACAATATATCGATATGGTGATACTTTATCGTGATACTTTCTCACACAATTACTTATCAATATGCTTTTGCTAAGTATCAATTTAAATAATAAATTAAAATTAATACAAATCTTTACTTGAAAAAATACAGATACTTGATATTAACGGCTTATTAACCGAGCGCGAGGTCTGTATGGAGAAATATCAGACCTTGGCCTTAATGCACAGACCGAGCCTTAATGCACAGACCGAGCCTTAATGCACAGACCGAGCCTTAATGCACAGACCGAGCCTTAATGTACAGACCGAGCCTTAACGTACAGACCGAGCCTTAATGCACAGACCGAGCCTTAATGCACAGACCGAGCCTTAATGCACAGACCGAGCCTTAACGTAGAGACCGAGCCTTAATGCACAGACCGAGCCTTAATGCACAGACCGAGCCTTAATGTACAGACCGAGCCTTAATGCACAGACCGAGCCTTAATGTACAGACCGAGCCTTAATGCACAGACCGAGCCTTAATGCACAGACCGAGCCTTAATGCACAGACCGAGCCTTAATGTACAGACCGAGCCTTAATGCACAGACCGAGCCTTAACGTACAGACCGAGCCTTAATGTACAGACCGAGCCTTAATGTACAGACCGAGCCTTAATGCACAGACCGAGCCTTAACGTAGAGACCGAGCCTTAATGCACAGACCGAGCCTTAATGTACAGACCGAGCCTTAATGCACAGACCGAGCCTTAACGTACAGACCGAGCCTTAATGCACAGACCGAGCCTTAATGTACAGACCGAGCCTTAATGTACAGACCGAGCCTTAATGCACAGACCGAGCCTTAACGTACAGACCGAGCCTTAATGTACAGACCGAGCCTTAATGTACAGACCGAGCCTTAATGTACAGACCGAGCCTTAATGCACAGACCGAGCCTTAATGCACAGACCGAGCCTTAATGTACAGACCGAGCCTTAATGCACAGACCGAGCCTTAACGTACAGACCGAGCCTTAATGCACAGACCGAGCCTTAATGTACAGACCGAGCCTTAATGCACAGACCGAGCCTTAACGTACAGACCGAGCCTTAATGTACAGACCGAGCCTTAATGCACAGACCGAGCCTTAACGTACAGACCGAGCCTTAATGTACAGACCGACGGCTCGGTCTGTACGTTAAGGCCAAGGTCTGATATTTCTCTGCACAGACCGAGGTTAATAAATGTTTTATTATGACTCTCGTCTGTGTCTTTATCAATGCTTTTGAGATATTTGTGAAGTATGTTCATGTCCGACTTGGTTTTGTGTGATACGCGCTGTTCGGACAGATTGTCATGGTAACGGTCCGAGATGGGAAAATATCAGACCGGTAATCAACCAATCAGAGCGCACGTACGGTCCAAGTCATATAATAAATGGCTACGTTACGCGTTTGACAATTTCTGTAGAATGTTCACATTGATTTTATTTGATGCAAGACAGATTGAGTACGATTTTTACTAAAATGGTTAAAAGGCATTTTTGCTTGTTCACTGTAAAGTTACACATGACACTTTATCCATTTATCTTGAAACAAAGTGTATTTTTTCACTTAATTTCTGCCATATAAGAAAAATATTATCGTAGGTATATTTTTGACCAATATATCGATAATCGCTGCATCGTCATATCGTGAGATATTCGTTACCGTGATCTTTGTATCGTATCGTGAGGTTCCCTGAGGATCCCACCCCTCGTAATAATAATAATAATAAAAACAGGCGTAAAGTGTAAACATGTAGGGAGACTGTATCCTTTAGGAGACAAACACTGTGATATCTGTTTAATAATAATAACGTTTGTATCATTTACTTTCACTTCAGGGGGCAGTATGTGATGTTAGATGTTGATACTATTTTGTTACTACTGTGTTATTGTTTCTGTTCTGGATTAATATGATGCACATGTTCTGTCAAACTCTTGTTGAATAGAAAGAGAGTGGAACATACCGGTGGAGGTTCTGTGTCGACGTGGAGGTCGCTGATGACCTCACACACATTCTTCTTTCCCGTTTTGTTGATTAGAAGCTTCAAACACTCCTCGTGGTAAATGTGGCTCCTTTCTCTCACCGACACTTCACTCTTCAGCAGCGGAGAGTCCAGGAAGACCGTTTTCTTTGTACTTTTGTCTGTGGAAATGAAAAACTGTTTTAAATACAATGACAAATATGTGAAAGATGATCATTTAGTATAATAAGTCAACAGTTCTAGTCCTTAACCATTGTTCCACCCGCCACAGTGAGGAAAAGTAGAAGAAAAATATCCTCAATTAGGGTTTAAAGGGGTCTAAATGAAAAAATTCATCAAATTCAGTTTGAAAACATATTTTATAAATCGTATGGTCAATTTGGCACAAGGAGAGCACAAGGATTCATTTATGTAACTTTCAGAGTTAGTACATTTTCTCCTTAAGATCCATCTGTCACTGTTAAGGGGCGTTCACACCGGACTTAACTTCGGCGTCAAAAGCGTCAAGTTTCCATTGAAAGTGAATGGTGAAGCGCGTCAGGTGAAGCCGAGAGCCCCGGCGTCACTTGACGCGCGTCAAAAGCTTCAAGAGTCGCGCGTAGTACGCGCTCACTTGAAGCTTTTGACGCGCGAAACGCTCGCGTATCACAACAATCCCTTTGACGCCGAAGCTGAGCAAAACTGAGCTTTTGAAGCTTTGACGCGGGCTTCAACCAATCAGGAGACGAGGAGCAGCAGCAGCAGAGGGTCTGTCTCTGTCATGAAGAGAAGTCATGTATCTGCTGCTGCTGTTTTATTGTCATTATTGTTATTAGTAATATTATTTGTATGAGTAGTAACATTCTGAGTAACAAAAATCATTGTACACATGCTGTGTAGTAAACGTAGTTTATTTAATATAAGAACAGGCTGACGATGAGTCTGGCTCAGAGCAAGGCAGCTCCGGGCGGGCGAGAGCCGGGGAGAGGCAGGGAGAGGCAGGGAGAGGCGGGGAGAGGCAGGGGGAGGCAGGGAGAGGCAGGGAGAGGCGGGGAGAGGCGAGCTCCGGGGTTTGAGAACTCAGACTGGGCAAGTGACATGCGGAAGTACCGCTGAAAGCGAAACTCCTCCGTATGCAGCTCCTGGAGTAAATGACGGAACTCTGCAAACACTGCAGCCTCTCAAGTCTGTGGTGAACCCAGAACATGTTTTGTTGAAGCCCTACAACAACGTTATTTTGCTTTATATAATAAATAAAGGCTCGCTGCTCATTGAAAAATCCACCGCTGTCCTGACTACAGGCAACAGAGAAGCTCCTCCCACCGGCGTCAGGCGCGTCACTCGCGTCAAAAGCTTCAAGCACCAAAATGACAAAACTATCCCGGCGTCAGTTGAAGCGCGTCAAAAGCTTTTTGAAGCTTTTGGTCTGAACGCGCCTTTAGGCTCCGGAGAGGGTTCCTTTTTGTCCGAATGGCTGCGGCAGGAAACATTTATGTACCAAAAAATAAGTGTGTAGAGCAGAAATATAGATAAGATCATGAAACCGTCTTTGTGCACATGGCTATGTTTCTATAGTTACAGTAACCGTGAAAAGTGAAAGTAACAATGATAATAGAAGGGTTAATTAGATATTCAACATTCTTGCTCAAAAACATAACGTGTCTTATCCAAACTGTCTGTGATATGTATGTTACTGCTCTCTGCTGTTTATTCTACTGTTTGTCGCATGGCGCCGTAAAGATGGCGCCGTGGCAAGAGCTCTGGTGTGTGCCGCCTCTGTGTGGTGCACACTGGGGTAGTCTTGCACAGTTTTTCCAATGTGGTTTTACTGCAAATGGCAAATAAATGAATCTGAATCTGAACCTGATCTGGTAATAGTCCCTGAAGCCCCTTCCTGCTGTTTACAAAGTGAAATACCGTGAGAAGGGTTGGCTCTGATGAGGACAGGGATCTCCCACTCTTCTCTGAAGTCGGGGCCGTGGTTGTTGAGGAGCTGAACCAAAGCGTCTCGAGTCAAACACACGTGAGGCTCATAGCGGCTGCACAGCGACAATGAATTACTGTCACTGCTAACAGACTGAAACAGAGAAGTTGAGAAGGAATATATTTTATTAAAGAGACACAAATCAGAACCAGCTCACTAATGAGAACGATTGACACCCCCTAGTGTCACTTATGAGAACTGCAGCTCATTACAGCAGACCTGGGGGCACTGAAGCTTCAGCAGCGTCTCACTCTGAAGAGTAATTAAAAAGTAAGACAATGACTTACAGCGTGCAGCTCCTTTGCCTTTTGAGCCGGAGGAGAGTGTGATGAAACAGTCTGATAATCCGACGCAAGCACAGCCCCGATACTCACTGGCTTGGAGTGTGCAACATCCACCGTGCCCTGGAGCAAATGGAGCACAAAGAACCAGCATCAGCAGCAACTAGACCTGAACAGGACAGAACTGGGAACAAGTATACCACCATCGTACGACATGGCACCAGCTGTGGACCCTCACCATGTGGAGCAGCCGCTTCTCGAACGTGAGAGCGAGCGAGGGGTTGAACCTGCCGCCGGTCAGACTGGTCAGCTCCAGGATGTGGTAGAGCTGAGGCAGGTCCTTCATGTGCTCCAGGCTGCTGCGGAAAACCTCCTGCAAAGAGATGGAAGTCTGTGAAAGCTGCAGGTGGAAGTCAGATCCCGTCAGACCTCTCAGGCTAAGCAGGACAGGACCTGGTTAGTACCGTGATGGGAGACCTCTGGGAACAGCAGGTGCCACAGTGGGGCGGCTGCGGCTGTAAAGTACCAAACTGTTGTTGTGTCCTTAGGCAAGGCACTTCACCCACATTAGAATGAGTAATGTGTGTGTGATTGGTCGGTGGTGGTCAGAGCCCAATGGCACATACTGGTTTTTAAGAATATAGGTGTACAGTACTTAAACTGTTTTGTCTTTCTTCTTGTGTTTCCTCTGTCTGCTTGGTCTTCCTGTATCTACTATTCCATCTAATTATTTTCACTTTGTATTATCATGACTGTTTTTTTTTTTATTATTAAGATGACTGTGCAGCGCTTTGTAAACCTTGTTTTTGAAAATACAAATAAGGATGTATTATTATTATTATTGTTATTATTATTATTACTTCGTGCACTCGTATATAGTGGTAATCTTAAGAAATGTCATGTAGATTTGTATTTTTATGCCTACCTTATACTATTATAACTTGTTTGCACCGAGAGTCAAAGCGTTTTCCTAGTTTGTGACTTCTAGTTACTCAAAATGGCAATAAAAGAATTCTGATTCTGGCTGCCTCGCTTCTGTCAGTGTGCCCCAGGGCAGGTGTGGCTACAGTAGTAGTTTATCACCACCTGTGAAGTGTCTTTGAGTGTCCAGAAAAGCACTATACAAAATCAAAGCATTATTATTATTATTATTATTATCAGAATCCTTTTTATTGCCATGTGAGTAATGCGAGTAATATAAACAGATGGAGGAGGTTAGTGGGCGTGTACCTCAGAATACTGCGCCGCTGCCGGGGGGAGGACTTTGTAGTCTTCAGCACACATCCTCGACACGTCTTGCAAATACATCATAAACTGACGTATTTCATTATTCACTTTATTAAATAAGGCCTGTTGGTAGAATACGATACCGAAATAAGTCACATTATCATGAAGAAAGACCGAGATACACACACAAATACATACAGACACAAACCTCAGGAAGGTATCTCTCCGGCGTGTCAGAGTTTAGAAACTTGAGGCACTTCCTCTGCTCTGTTGCGGACAGTGCGGACGAACAAGGGTACGGGACTCGGGGCTCTGGAAATGTATTTTTCTTTTTGGATGTTGTGGTGGTGACTTTAGGGCCCTCGCTCTCCCCATCGGACTGCTCAGAATCACCACTGGTCCAGGCGCTGTCCTCCATGAAGCTGTCATTTGGCTCGTGCTTTTCCACAACATAGCCCTGTTCTTTGGTGGGACTAGGATTCTCCGGGCTGCTAAAAATATATGTATCTTAAATTCAATTGTGCACAGCTAGTGGTGGATTTCTACACAGGCCTGAAAAGGTGTTGGTAAAGACTGACACAGAAAAAGTACAGAATGACTCATACATGCATGAAATAACTCAAATCAGTCTTTAAAAACACTGGGATCTCGTTCCTCACTCTCGAAAACTGTTTGGTCTACACATGGTCAAAGAGAGGACCATTCTCATTTGGCCAATCAGATCTAAGCCCAAAGGGTCAACTAGTCACTCATAGTATGCAAAGGTTGTCTCATTTTATGCTGTTGTCTGTTGGGGAGGGGGCAGTGCGAGGAAGAGGGACACAGAGGTGGTGGAGCAGAGAATCAGAGCATTAACTCGGTTTTTACCCGTCACAGAGCTCCACACTCCTCTCCCTGAGAAGCTCCAAGGACAGACTCAAAAATCTGTTTGTCCCCAACAGCATCAGGCTTTATAACAAAGGCACTTCAGGGAGGAGCAGAGGAGGGGGAAATGTCTTGAATATGGACTTGCAGTGCCTTAACTTCTCTTTTTATGTATTTATTGTCATTTTTAATGATGTTTTTACTTTTAACTTTATCCTACTGTGTTTGTACGAATGTGAGCAAGGGACTAATGTAGGGCTGGGCGATAAAACGATAACGATATATATCGCGATAGACATGTGTTCGATATCAATAGAGAATGGGGTCGATAGAATGTTCGATAGTTTAACTTAACTCCGTCAGGAAAAACAGGAAGAAAACACCGGAAGTAAAGCCGACTCATAAGCGCATGGCATTGTGGGGGATGTAGGCAGAGGCTTCTCGACCAATAACAGCCGAGCAGGAACCGCAAAACTTTGTGGGAAATGCAAAAACAACAACAACCGCAGCATGCGTGGCGTCCATGGATCTATAGCTCGTGTTTCAATGCCGTGTCAATGGTTATGCACGTATGTGCGCGGAATAACATGTGCGGCGGCAGAGGCAGTGGACAGACACCATGTATTCGGCGAAAGCAAGAGATTAACTTTTTCCTCGGGAAGCATGTGCGGCACAGAGAGCCGCACGGAGCGGTCACGGGGACACAAGACCCTCAAACAGCTAAACCAGGAACTAAACCAGGAATAAAAAACCAGGATTAAACCAGGACTAACAACGAGGGACACAGTGTGAACATATTCCTCCAGCCTCATCGCCCCGTGACTGTAAACAAGGCTGCTAAGGTTGGTTAGCCCACACCACAAATATATTTATTTAGGTTAAAAAAAACAACTCAATATATATCGTTATCGACCGATATGAATGACTTATATCGTGATATAGTTTTCAGCCATATCGCCCAGCCCTAGACTAATGCGCAATTTCCTTCGGGATCAATAAAGTATTTTTCCATCAATCTATTTAATAAGATGAAGACAGCATGTTGTGGTCTGAAGTCTCTTTTACTAGAGGCATACCCAATTATTATTTACGAAAAAAGTGATGTACCTCGGCTTTAAACTTCAGCTACCGAACACTGTTCAATAACAAAGCCATGAGTCATCTGTTTTAAATAACACGTCCCATTTGGCAGTGGTCCTTCTGTTTGGACGGTAGAATCAAACAAATACCTGTTAATGAACTTCCACAGATCCAGGATGCTGAGGCCAAACCCAGTTTTATCATAGAGATCCTTGTTGAAAGTCAGATCTTCTGGAACAGGTGGATCCTCCCTTCAGGAAAGACGTGAAGGTTTCAAAACAAGATGTAGCTTCAACTTCAAAAGAACTACAAATCACTAATGTGCACTAGAGCTGCAACTAACGTTTACGATTAATCGAGTAATCGCTTGGCTGTGAATTGTGTAGAAAAAAAATATTTTTTCATCACAAAAAGCTAAAGTGGCAACACTCGAGGACGTATTGAGGCGTAAACTTAAAGTAAATGTTTGTAACAGGCTCTTTGTGCTAATTCTGATTGGATGAGACAGACAGATATTCATGAAATTATAAAAACAAAGTCGGTTTTAATCAAAAATACTACATTTTCATGTCATTTTTGCTCTGTTTGAGTCTGTGTGAACCAGAAAACGATTAATCGATTACTAAAATAGTTGTCGACTATTTCAATAATCGATTAGTCGTCGATTAATCGATTTGTTGTTTCAGCCCATTGTGCACACAACTGGATCTGTCTTAAAGCTTAAGTAAGTAAGTAAGTTAGTAAGTTTTTATTTATATACCGCCTTTTCACTGCAGATCTGAGTCTCAAAGCGGCTTACAATTGTTAATTTTTTTGGGCATTTTGTCTCTCACTCCACACAGAGATGGGAGCGGGGCCAGTACAGGAGGCGCATGCTAGAACTATTGGACATATTTTTAGTGGTAGGGGAAACCGGAGTACCCGGAGGAAACCTACGCAGACACGGGGAGAACATGCAAACTCCACTCAGAAAGGCCCTGGTCCGACCGGGATTCGAACCCAGGACCTTCTTGCTGAGAGGCAAGAGTGCTATCCACTCAGCCACCGTGCCGCCCGATGTAACCCTTAACCCGCCAGTGTGTATGTTATCATTATAGTCATTATAGTATAAGTATGTTGTGGGGTTTTTATTTATTTTTGGATTTAACCAGAAGTCCCATTGAGACATAAGAACTTCTTTTTCAAGGGAGTCCTGGACCAAAGTTACACACAGCTACGTTCAATTACAGAGTATAAAAACAGATAGTTACATGTTAAGGAGGATGTCTCAAGTGCTCAATCTTGACTTAAAGCATTCAATAAAATAAGTTCAGTTTTTACACGTTCCAAGTAAAATGAGCAGCATATACACTAACCCAATTCTGTGCAAGCAAAGGGAACAGAGAGCACTCATATGTAAAGAATCCACAGATAATAAGACTTAAGCACTGAGAGAGATAATAAGACTTAAGCACTGAGAGAGATAATAAGACTTAAGCACTGAGAGAGATAATAAGACTTAAGCACTGAGAGAGATACTGTGTGACTGGAGTCCTGCACGTGCTCCCCTTTGCGTCACAAAATCACGTTAATTTAAGATGAAATAGTTAATTAAAAATACGTGCTTTTCTGTAGAGTAACGTCACTCACCACACGACCTCCATGTCTGCCTTTAACCAAACTAACAGTGCCGCAGTAAGTTTTCTCTGTCCATGTCACAGCTGAGTGTCACGATGCTAACGATGCTAATGCTAACAACAACAAACTGCTTCTCCTCGTGCTCACGCCACCTGCTGGAGTGACTCTGGTACTGCACACCTGACCAGGCCACTGCCATGTATGTTATTATTATAGATCCATGGTATATGCACACAAGTGGGAAGTAGCTACGTATTACTACTTACTTACTGCGCCAAATTATATTATGCAGCTATCAGTATCTTTCTTTATTATTCATACAATAATACAATTCTACTTTTACTTCTTTTAAACCTGCATATCTGTACTTATACTCCCCTAAGTTATAAAATTGTAGTTGCTTTGCAGATGTAGACACAACATGAAAACAGGTTTTAAGTGATTAAGCATGCTAACCAATGGTTAACTACGCGTCCTGTATTCATTGTGGTTAGCTACGCTTCTAAGTTCAGATAACCACCTGGTTTGACTTTGAAGTTTTGCTCATGACCAGAGGTAATGAAGGCAACGGAGATTGATCGGTAAATCGAGAGCTTTGCCTTTCGGCTCTGATACAGCTCTGACTGCAGACGCTGCTCCCTCTTCACCACAACAGTCTGATACAGCTCTGACTGCAGACGCTGCTCCCTCTTCACCACAACAGTCTGATACCGCTCTGACTGCAGACGCTGCTCCCTCTTCACCACAACAGTCTGATACAGCTCTGACTGCAGACGCTGCTCCCTCTTCACCACAACAGTCTGATACAGCTCTGACTGCAGACGCTGCTCCCTCTTCACCACAACAGTCTGATACCGCTCTGACTGCAGACGCTGCTCCCTCTTCACCACAACAGTCTGATACAGCTCTGACTGCAGACGCTGCTCCCTCTTCACCACAACAGTCTGATACAGCTCTGACTGCAGACGCTGCTCCCTCTTCACCACAATCGTCCGATACAGCGACCGCATCACTGCGCACGCTGCACTGATCCAACTGTCAATCTCACGCTCCGTCCTTCCATCACTCCTGAACAAGACCCAGAAATACCAGAACTCCTCCACTTGAGGAAGGACCACCTGAGGACCAGGACCTGGAGAGGACCGGGACCTGGAGAGGACCGGGACCTGGAGAGGACCGGGACCTGGAGAGGACCGGGACCAGGAGAGGACCGGGACATGGAGAGGACCGGGACATGGAGAGGACCGGGACCTGGAGAGGGCCGAGACCTGGAGAGGACCGGGACCTGTAGAGGACCGGGACCTGTAGAGGACCGGGACCTGGAGAGGACCGGGACCAGGAGAGGATCGGGACCAGGAGAGGATCGGGACATGGAGAGGACCAGGACCTGTAGAGGACCGGGACCTGGAGAGGACCGGGACCTGTAGAGGATCGGGACCTGGAGAGGACCGGGACCTGGAGAGGACCATGGCAGAACCTGGAGAGGACCATGGCCTCAGATTTGGAGCTGATTCTCATCCCAGACGCGTTCACATTTGGCTGAAAACCGTAATACCTTTCATTTGTAATAAAAAGAATGTGTGTAATGATATCAGGGCATTAGGTGTGTAAATCTCTTCAAACATGGATTTATTTATTCCAGAACACAATGTAAAGGTGCAGTCAGTAAATAAAAACTCGATACAAGCGGTAAATTTTATTATGGGATAACAGCACATAAAGCACATCAAAAATCGATGTGTCCAATGCACTTATCATAAAGGTGATATTAAAGGTACAGTTTCTAAGTACAATATAACAACATTCATATTAGAATGAAAAGTATTTAAAAGACAACATTAAATTTCTTATTCTTCTTTACAGTCGTATTTACAAAATGAATTAAAATACTTAATTTTCATTTAAGAATCAGACAAGAAGGAGCAAAAACTACACTTGTGAGTCAACTACCCGCTAAAGAGATCAAAAGAGCGGCTTAAAAACATGCTCGTCTGTCCCCAGTTTCACATCAGTAGCAAACGTGTGTGTATGTGTGGGGGGGGGGTGCCCGGAGAACCCCAGTCTGCTCCAGCCCATTCCCCAGTGACAGAGTGCACGGAAAACCCATCGACAAAATACTGACCCAAACAAGACACAAAGTCATTCGTCTTACACTGAAGGAGGCAAAAGGAAGCTCGGGTCGGGCCTGGACAGACACACGCCAACGTCGCAGGAGAATAAAGTCCAAAACGTACTGAAAAATACTAAATTAAAGAAGAAATGTGGGGAAATGTATGGAAAAACGACATTAAGATTGATTCTACTATGGACTTTCACATTTTGGTTTTGATTTTATTCTATTTTGATTGTTATTGTACTGTTCTGTGTTCTCTTTAAAGGAAAAATGAAAAAACTATAGAACCATTTTTACAATTCTCTGATTGAGTATCATTGAACCACTTTGCGTGATCAAAGCTGATTGGCTCAGGCTCTCTGTATTGAACTGGAATTTGACAAAATGTTGATCGTAAGAAAAATAAAAATGCATATTACAAAGGTCAGTCGTGCTACAGGTTTAGTGTGAATGACTAAACAGCCAATCAGAATGGTCGATAGTCAGCCGTAATAACAGAAAGACACAAAAAACACGTCCCCAAAGACGACTGCTGTTGTGAATTAGGGCTCTACACATATACTCATTCATATTTCAACATATTTTGGAAAGAAATGTGATTGTGGTGGATTGATTACTGACATTGGTATCTGTCCCTTATGTGTTTTCTATTACTGCATTTCTTGAGCGGTTTGATTCTCTGATCTGTGTTGGCGAATCGCAAACTCCTCTGACATAACTACTGCTGTGATTTAAGGCTGCACAAAATGAATTGCATTGAATTGAATATGTCAAAGCGAGTGACACTAACGCAGTCTGGAGGTGTGTCTGTCCAGGGCTGACGTCAAACTGACTCATGGGACCAGTCTGAGGACACGTTTTAACAACTTCTCACAAGCCAAAATGGAACAACATGTGCAGATATAAAAAAGATCGGAGAAACACGAGTGAGAGTGTAGAAAATACATCGTCACGAACCACAAAAAAAAGGACAATCACCCCATGTGCATCCGGAAAGACCCCGAGAGGCACTCAGTGTGAGAGGTGACTTATTGCCTGTGTGTGTGTGTGTGTGTATGTGTGTGTGTGTATGTGTGTGTGTGTATTTGCTACAGCGAAGATGAGAGCACTGAGCACGGGGGACACCGAGGACCGTGGACCAGCCCCCACCCTGCACCGCTGCCAAACTGGGCCGACAGAAGGAGGTATAAAGACTTATCTTAAACAAACTATAGCCTCAGTGAGTGTTGTTACAATCAGACAACCAAAAAATACACTAAATCGCTGTTTCAGTGGGAGAAAAAATTATCATTCCGCGAACTGGAGAGAGAGAAAAAAGCATCCTAAAATTATCGTTAAAAGCAGATTCTAGTTTTGCTCTACGACAGAGATAAGTGCCAGGTCCCGGCCGGGCACACTGATACAGGTGCCCACATTGGGACGTCTAATAGTTATCGTTATCATTTACCGAATCCTATTGTCAGTAATACATTTATGTGCATATGACGAAATGGCTGGGCTGATAAGGGTGATCCACATCAGGCCAAAAACACCAACTGATAAAAAACCCCTTGGAATACGCTGGAGTTTAGGGAAGCAAACTGGACTCTTTCTATGGACTCATGGACGGGACTGATGGCGAGGGCCTTAGAAGCAGTATTTTCTTTCCTCTTATACCTAAACAAACAGAAACTACTTTTTTTTTGTTTTTTTTTTACACAAGTGAGGATATCAAAATGTCCAGAAATGAGGGAGAACTCAGGAGATATACAACACGGCAACGTAACATCCACAAGTCCAAAAGCCAAAAATAAATAAGACATAAGTATTTACATGCAGATGCGCCGTCGTATGCACAAAAGAATGGTTTTAAGAATGATTTTACACACACATATATTATTGCTTGACATTTGATTATGGCTAATAGTTGCTTGTTCATTTTTTTAAAACTATATTCTTAAACATTTTTATTTGTAATCATAAAATTTCGACCGCTGTGCTTTTAGAAACGAGTCCTCAAGCGTGGCATAGCTGGCTTCGAGATCGACGGACGAGAGAGAGAGAGAGAGAAAACGACAAAACATATGAAGTTAGATTTTTAGAATCTGCCGTTTTTCTAATTGTAACCTTAAAAACGCAGAGAAAATCCCCGCCCAAAAAACTTCCCCTTTGCCATGAGCTGTAAAACCACTATACCACGCTTTTTGCAATATTATTATTTCATCTCAGCATAACCTTTTTATAAGAAACATGTGTGAAAACGGCAACAAAAATCTCACCGTCGTTGACCCTGTTCCATAATAATTAAAGCCTTGTCTGGGATTTCACACACAAACATCTGTATACCACTCACTAATATTGCTTTTTACAGACAGAGAGAGAGACAGCAGAGACACTCCTGATATAGTCGACAAATATACAAAAAAGGACATCAATTTTACACGTTTGCAAAGGCAGGGCTAGTATGTTCATTCACTGCTGCACACACACACACACACACACACACACACGACCTGACAGATGCTGGTCGCTTGTATACGGTGAAGTCAACAGAAAGAGACAAGAAAGTAGAGACCCGTATTGAAACGCAAGGCATACACATATTGCTTTGTCTCGTTTTAAGACACTGGAAATCCTTTGTTTTGTGTTTTAAGGCAGAACTATGCGACGTATAGAACCAGACAGTGGTTTTGACACGGATTCCAAACGCCACTAATGTGTTCTGCATATGCAAAGAAATGGGGATTTTAGTGCAAATTTGATCAAAGATTCAAAATAACAAAGAGAATGTTGTTATGGTTCTTTTGAGAGGTGGAGGAAAGGCAGCCGGCATTTCTTAACGTGCAGGTTTTCTTCAGGATTCAGACATTTTAAAGAATTCCGGCATTTTGCGAATGTTGTCTTTGCTTCGCTTACAACTGCTGTAAGTCTCTAACTTGGATCATAGATTGTTTACAGCTAAAAACCATTTGTATAGTCAGTATAGTCACTTTTAGAATTATGAATGTGTTTGTTGACACCTGAATTTCTCCGATGGTGGAATCCATAGTAAAGTGTCTGTCTGTCTGTGCAGTATTGACCACTTTAAGACAAGATAAAAGTACATGTATTTGTCCCACTGTGCGGAAATGTTGATAAAGGTAGATTTCAGAGCAATTAGATGAAGGTAATACATCATTTAAGGGGTGGGATCACATACATCTTCTTCTTCCCACTCCTTTCTGAGCCAAAATACTGTTTTGTCCTTCATTGTGGGTACAGTGATTTCTGTATCGTGCAGAATCATTTTGTTTGGCTCAAAATAAAGTATTCAATCCATTTTTAGTAGTCCTTTGCCCTCCTTTTTTGCCCTAACAAAGAAGCTCACTGCAAGAAAAAGCTCGGAGACCCCTGCTCTAAAGGTTTAATTTGGATTTTCTGTTTTACTATTGTCTATTACTATAACTATGAGCATGAACTTGTCAATCGGAGAGCTACTTTTACACAACAGCAGAGGCAGAGAGCTACTCCTTTCTGCAGTCGTAATAAAAATCTATGCAATAATCAAAACAAAGCATGGAAAAACACTTGTAAATTATACCTGACTACTGTATAACCCTATATTTGTATTTATAATAGATTTGCAATTACTCAAAAGTGAATCCTTCAAGGCCATGTGTTGAATTCTAAATCCTTTGGGGAGCTACCTGAAAGGGGCTGGCGAGCTACTGGTAGCTCCCGAGTAGCAGGTTGGAGACCCCTGGACTAGATTTGTGTGTCTAAAACCTGGTTCAAGACATATTTCCTCTTTAAAAGACTTCAAATGAGTCTAACTTAACTTTGTCAATATGTATTCTTCTTACTGTCCATCCACCTCTCAAGTCTCAGTCACACGGCCCTCGACTGTTTTCTCCTCTGTTCTGTGTGGTTCTAAAGTCACATAGTGTTGCTCAATATTGTGTGTGTGTGTTTTTTGCTGATAAATATGAACGGGCCGAGCCTTGACGATGCCGGCTGGTTGTGCGCTGCGTCGCTCCCTGGATTGTCTAGCTACTCGTGTGTGTTCCAGACGTCTTTTCAAAGGGAGTTTTTGTTGTTTTTTTTACCAGTCATATTCTGGGAAACGTGTGCATATCCAAACTCCATTGGATCAAAACATGACATAATTCTACCCATTCAATATTGCATAAGAATATTTGGTTTGTCCTGTAGCGAGGGTTGTGGTTTCTTTAGGGACCCTGATGACACCGTTTTTTGTTTTGTGACGTACAGTATGCTGCATGGGCTGTGTGGCTTTTTTAATGGTTTTTGTAATTGTTTTAAATGTCTCAAGAAAATAGACAACAAAAGGACAAATCTCCCCAGAGAACAACGCAGAATACAGACATTATCAGTAAATTCAAACGCATCATATAAAAATAAAACAAAAAATGATTGAAAAAAAAATTAAAAAATGAATCTTTCCCTGAGGGGTGACAGCGCGAGGCTTGGTACAAATTGCACAAACACCAATGCAAAAAAAAAACAAAAGTCAAATAAAGTTAGAATCTGTATATATACGGTGCAGTTTTGTGACTTCCTAAAGGGACAACATCTATTTTTGTGTTTATATATATATATAGATTATTTTCTGCTACTAAGATCGCTGGAATGTCTGAGGAATCCATCTACTTCACAGACTGGAAGCAAAGAACCATCGTTTTGGCACGACTAGGGTGTGTTTTCTCCTACGTTTTTTCCTTTTTTTTTCTTTACAACACAGACAAGAGACAACGAAACAGAAGTACGATACACAAAGCGCTCTGAAAATAGCTTGTCCTAGCAGTTTTTCTCCCTAAAATCACACAAAACAACGGCTACAGTAAGTCTAATTATTGCGCGAATACAGTTAAGTGCTACCTGACACCTCCTCCCTCCCGCGTTCTCTTTCATGAGTTTATTAACCAAAATACAAAAATAGAAGCTTTACGACCAGACAAGGCTTTGAATATTCACGGTCCTTTCTTTTGTTGTCCCGTGGCGGTGGCGGCGGCGGCGGCGGCGGCGTGGCGTTTGCTGAGGCAGTGAGGAGGCAGATAGAGTCACTCAGACGAAAATGCTTTTGAGGGCATTTCAGTGCATTTGTGCTTATTTGCTTGGACCCTGACTATGTGGCTTTGCTTCGAGAAGAGTGCGGCTGATGCGGCGTGAAAGGAAAGTGAAGGAGCGTGGGCCGTGGTTAAAGCTAGGGGACCTGAATATTGCGTTTAATAAATAATATGTCCCTAGCTGGAAGTCAAACTAAAAAATTGTGAGCGAATCGGACCAAATCCAGTCGTCATCTTGGTTAAAAAAAATCATGGTATATTTTGCATACTTGTCAGAAAGAGCCCTGTGTCTTGCTTTTTTGACTCTTCGGGCTGAAAGCTGATTGGCTGAGGGAGGGTGGTCCTCTCTGTCACACATAAAAACACATATTTACATGGATTTTATGACGTTTTATAGTTAAATCTTTGAGGTTTGAAAGTGAGGGACCCCAGCTTTAAACGCTTGTCATATTTTGGAGTTTGATGCTGGTGTGAATTACAATAAGTTTCATTCATATTCTGCCCTCAGTCTACTCTCTAGTGCTGATGGATTAGATTAGATTCAGCTTTATTGTCATTACAAAGTCAGAACAATGCAACAAAATGCAGTCTTGTAATGTGTTTTAAATATGAGTTGGATTATGCAGTATATAATAGCAGCGTGGGGACAAATCATGTTATCATTACCATTATCATTATCTTTTGTTGATTTTACTTTGGTTATTACCGGTAATGGCACCCTTGCTAAGAAGAGCCAACACTGCTGCACCAAATCATTTTCGTTTGTAAATTATTTCCATTTTGATGATCTCTCCAGGGGAAAAGGAATGGGCACCTCTGCTTTTTTTAGCCTGGCTGGTCACGTGGGGAAACAATTTGACGTCTCGTTGCTGCAATACCCACACTCACCAGCAGAGGGAACAACCGCATCAAGCTGACACCAGTTCAAACTCCAAACTGATCTCACTCAGAAGCAAAAAAATAAAAGTAGTATTTTGTCTTGTGCTGATGAATACTTGTGCTACATTTGGATGGCAGTTTTTGGCTTGGGAGCATGACTCTGACCTGCCTTCTCTCTTGGCCACGCCGCCTTCTACAGCCCGCCCCAGAGTCTGCTGCAGCTCCCGGAACCAGCGACGACACGCCCTTCAGTTTCTTGTATTTCTTGTGCACATGCAACATAATACTAGGTAAATATACAAGTCTTAAATTAAACAAAGGTGTAAATAAAAGTGCCTTATCAATTCAACAATTAAGAATGGTCTAACTACTAATATCATACAAGTTATTTAAAATAGAATCTATAAACATTACTTTTTCTGTATAGTACTTACGACCATATACCCTGTAGCGTATTTAAACAGGTGGAATGGACTCTTTTCATTGTGGGGGTGCCTCCTGTCGAGCGCCTGTCCAGAGAAGGATTAATAGCAAATGGCCTTACATGATTTCACTAAGATGCATGAAGTCTTTGAGCTGAAATCTGCGTAATTTCAAAAGAATTTCCAGAATTCCATGTCTCTTTTAAACGATTGTCTGTAAAGAGAAGCCGATGGCATCAAAACGACTCGAAGCGAGAGTCTGCTGCAGACGAAGAATGAACTGGACCGACATGTGCATTTCAGAGCAAACAAAGTTATTTTTAAATGTTATAATATGCAATAATACTCGCATTAGTGCTTATAATTAATGTCAATGTTGGCCTGGCTTAATTTATTTGAAAAAGATGCACAAATAAAGCACCATCCAATTCAAAGAGTGGTTTGAGTGAAGAGCCAGAAGTGCACACAGGTCTGGTTCAGGCGCAGTGATGAAGATGAGGAAGTGCACACAGGTCTGGTTCAGGCGCAGTGATGATGATGAGGAAGTGCACACAGGTCTGGTTCAGGCGCAGTGATGATGATGAGGAAGTGCACACAGGTCTGGTTCAGGCGCAGTGATGATGATGGAGGAAGTGCACACAGGTCTGGTTCAGGCGCAGTGATGATGATGAGGAAGTGCACACAGGTCTGGTTCAGGCGCAGTGATGAGGAGGAAGGCGTCTTCAAACTGAACAGAAGAACAATGTCGTCGCCACCTGCGGGTGTGAAGAGCCTCCAGCCGTGGCCTCTGCTAAAGTGTCTCTGATGATATCCGGCTCCTCTGCGGCGCTGGCCACAGGCTGCTAGCCGTCCGCCGGCATGGTTTGCTCAAAGTCCGAGCCGAACAGCTCCTTGTACAAGGGCGGGAAATGGGCGCGCACAATGTCTGGGTATATTGCTTTGAAAGCTGTGAGCTTCTCTGTATGCCTGCTGCAAAGCGCTCGCAGTGTCGACACTTTGCATATCAACTGTGGAGAGAGAGAAACAGAATGTTTAGACTCACACAGCTCTGCACACGGCTCTGCACACGGCTCTGCACAGGGCACACACTGTAAACACTGAGACGACTCAGGCACATGTGCAGGAACAACATCACACTAGGTGCTTTTCACATTCAACTATTGAGAAATTGCCAGTTCTCAGCTGACAGAATAGACAGTGGTTTGGATCCTCCCTGATTCTGTGCAGAGTGGAAGAGTGTGTGGCTGTACCTTTGTGAGGATACCGTCTTCTCTGTGGTTTTTCTGCAGGACGTGCTGCAGAGCCAGCTGGATCTTCTGCTGTAGCTTCTCCACCTTCACCTTCTCCTGGAGCCAGGAGCGGTCTGTGAGGGACAGAGCCAAGCCTTTTCACGTTAATGGTACCAGAAAACTCATTTTCTTGTTGTGTGTAAGATTAGCTGACCCAGCTGTGTCAAATGTTATGTTAGCTAAAGAATACTATTTCCAAAGTGTCACTATTCTTAGTCAAATTAATTGGTAAGGGAATATGTTTGGGGAGAAGCGTGGGTATGTGTATTTTCCCTGAGTCTCTGACACCTACCAGCAGACATCAGCACGAAGGCGGAGAACAGGGCCATCTCATCCTCAGACAGGTGCATAGAACACAAGTTTTTCCCAAACTCGAAGACGGAGCTGATCAAGTCGTCACAGCCTGCCACAGCAAAGGACACAGCGCCGAGTGAGTAGGAGGGAGACCAAAGAACAACACAAATGCTTGATCTTTATTGGGAGTGAGGCGCTGGGGAGGAAGAGGAAGGATGCTGACAGCACATGGGAGTGTCTGCTGCAAAAACACACTGCTTTTTTTCCCAACTTTTGCTTCTGGATGAGTCTCTTTTGCCAGTTTGCTGTTGTTATGACAAGCAAAGCCAGTCCATTAAACACAGGGCCACAGCAGAGCCTCCATATGTACTCAAGGTCCAAGTTATTTTATCCAATGTCCAAGTTATACTCTTCAAGTGACACTGTTAAGTTGTGTGCTTAAGCAAGACAAAAGTAGCCCTGGATTATTTAGCCTCAGATCTCTCCAACTCTGTGCAATGTTAATAATATCACTTTACTGGGTCACTTTGTCCCAGACCCTAATGCTGCTAACATGTACAGATGTAAACATACAACTACATATGTGACTGCCACTAGAATATACAGTATTTTATCAAACTGTGGGATTATGTTTTTGTGATGTAGGGGATTTGAAAGTCTCACCAAGGGACTTGAAGACGTCGGGTCCAGCGTACTTCCCATCAAAGTAGACTGTGTTGTTTTGTGAGTCAAAGGCACGACACATTCTGACAAACACCACTTCCAACGAACCTGAGACAAGAAGAGAGAGAAGGACTTTTACATCACTGTGTGTGTGTGTGTGTGTGTTGTTTGTGAGAGAGCAAGAGTGTGTGAGTGAGAGAAATAGAGAGTGTGTATGAGAGTGTGTTGCTTGTGTGTGTGTGTTTGTGTGAGAGGATGCGTGTGTGTGTGTTGTTTTTGAGAGTGTCAGTGTACTGTATGTGTGTGTGAGAGAAAGAGTGTGTATGTATGTATGTGTGTGTGTATGTGTGTGTGTGTGAGAGAGTGCGTATGAACTGTATGTATGTGTGCGTGCGTGTTTGTATGCATGTCGCTGTGCCTGCATGTGCATGTGCGTGTGCGTGTGTGTGTGTGTGTACTATACTGAAACTAACTAGTGCTTTGAAAGGCTGTGTCTGTGTCCTACACTTGTGTTGCTGCTAATATCATTCACAGTTTTGTGTATCGGTCTCCGCAACACAAAAAGACAGGACTCTTTGGGCTTGTGTTTACCGCACTGACTGGATACAAATATTCTACGGACTTAAATTTAAACAATGATATATCAGTGACACTAAAGGTACCACTTGGAACAGGTAGAACATGGAAGGTCAATTATGTCATAAGGGCTAAATCCAGGTTAAAAACAATGGAATTTATGATTTATGAAGCCTTCTGTGTTTTGTTCATACATCTTGTGCTGTACCGTAAATGGTGATGCAACACTGAAATTTCCCCACCGTGGGATGAACAAAAAGAATCTCTTAATATCTGGCGACAGCTCGTTCCATACAGCATGTAGACGAGAACAACAGGGGAATGACAGCCTTTGGGGTTTGAGTCACGTTGTGCAGATAGCGCTTATCTGAAGGTAATGTGTGTGTGTCTATGTGTGTCTATTTGTGTGTGTGTGTGTGTTCAGGGGGCAGTGGTGGGTGCGGGCTCTGTTTGTGTGCAGCCTTGTGAGTCAGGTCAGCTACTCCCTGTGACAGCGGCAGTGGAACAGCAGTGGGCCATGCTGACAGCCTGTCATACCTGCTTTCAGCAACACTATCTGATCATTCTGGCACAGCTCCATGAAGCCGTCGATGCGCTTGGCGAATTCCACCACATACTGAATGGCTTCTGTTATTTTGATAGCACACAGCTGCCACATGACTTCCCGGGGCTAAAGACATAGAGAGAATGTTTAAATGGTTTTAACAGTGGCCATGAATGGAGCAGGGTTGCAGCGTTGGAGCGTGGTGCAGACCTTGCTCTGGTAGCTCTCCACCTCCTCCTGCAGAAAGGCCTGCCAGGTCATCTGCTGCAGCTCCTCCCGCAGATACTGACAGGTTTCCATGTGCGACTTGGAGATGTTCTGGGCCAAATGCTCTGAAAAACAAGCCTTGTTACTGGTGCTGAAGATCACAGGACCATCTTAAAGTTTCTGTGATAAAATATGATGTGGTAAGGAAGAGCACATTTATTTACTGAGCTTGCAAAAAGCAGGAGAGACGCGTGGGCTTTTTGACTGAGAAAAGGCTTGTTGACATTTTCTTTTACTGCCTCCGGGACGCTCATAGCTTAAGGATGAGGCAAAGCCAATCTAGTTTTGACACAAATGTTTGAGAGGAGGAGGGGCCACACAGTGCTCGCTTAAACAAAGGTCACATTTTCTTTCAAAAACATTGAGCAGAAGAAGTAAAGTGCTTTTGAAAACACATCTGGTAAAAGGAGTTCCTGGCCACGGGGGAGCCGGAGCGTGATTTCCCCAGACACCTGCCCTGCTGGATTCTGATTGGCCCTAATTAATGGAAACTAATTACAAAAAAAGAGGTTCTTTTAATGAGAGTTGGAGATGAGTCTCCAACCTCCTGCTATTTTAAGCCACCTCTGTGTGGTTTTCCCCATGCTAAGTGTTCCCACCCCCACCCCCACCCCAGTCCTTACCCAGTTCAGCCATGGACACGGTGGGGGAACTGTCTCCATTAGAGAAAGAGCAGTAGGGGAAGAAGCCGGAGCCAGGGGCAAAGTCACAGATGGGCTCTGGTTTGATGCCGTTGATGTCCAGGCCGGACTGGTCGGGCGACGGCTGAATGTCCAGGTAGAAGCTGCTGACTGCGGAGTCCGGTTTGCCGTCAGGGGTGTGGCCATCCATGTAGCCGCTGAGGTCGTCGTGCAGCTCTGTCAGCCCATTGGCCGAGAGGCCATAGCTGGGGGTGAGAGGCTCCGCCTCCCCCGGCTGCTGCTGATGGTCGCGCTGTTGTTGCTGCAGCCGGTGTTTCTGCACCTCTGCGTACAGGCTGTCGCGCTGCTTCTTTGACATTCGCCCAAACTTCACCGCTGTGACAAAAGAAACACTTGATTACTGTCTGTAGGGCCTACTGTAGCCCTACCCACTGCTCTGCTGCCCCGTTGGTGTATATTTTGTTCCCGCCCCACAATAGAGCACCTCCTGCTGTGGACCGTCTCTGTGGGGGTCTGTGTAAAGAGCTGCACCTGTGCAGAGCCATTACTGTATCTCAGCTGCAGCTCCTGCAAAGACAGCTCGAACCTCGTCTTTCATCAAAGCAGAAAATATCAAATTAAAGCCAGACAATGGCTCACCTGCTGCAGCCCACAATGGAACAGTCTGTTTGCACTAACCCAGTTCCATAAACCAACAGGCTCCAGAGAAGAGTAACAGTTATGTCCCAGTATGAACAGGTCAGAGCTGTAACAGCAGGAGGCCCCTCAAACCCCTCAGTCCAGTGCTAGCCCTCACCGTCCCGGGACATGCCCACGGCCAGGCACTTCTGGAGCCGGCAGTGCTGGCAGCGGTTGCGGCTGGTGCGGTCGATCAGGCAGTTTTTCTGACGAGGGCAGGAGTAGGCCGCATTACTCTGTTGACTTCTGCGGAAAAAGCCCTGGAATCAGAGAAAGAGGAAGAAGAGTGAGAGGAGAACATTTCACATGATGTAATGTTGTTATTGTTTCACTCTGGCATAATTTACGATCTTCTGTTTCTGTTTTCTAATGAGACGCTTTAACCACAGGTACGAGGGAGCGGCCATAAATCAAACGTGTCATATTTGTAAAACACAAAACCAGGAGAATGTTGTTCATTAATGTTTTTTTTTTTCTGACACCACAACGGAATTCTTATTTGTGGCTTTACCTTCTGTTTATCAAGGCCTGGAATTGTCACATCTCTGAAGCTAAGCAGTGCAGCATCTGGCTAGGATGGGAGACCACTGATGATCTGAGAGTGTGGTTTTAAACGTGCCCAATGTGAAGATTAGAAAACCCTTTATTCATCTCTCAGTGGAAAATTCAATGTCATTGTTAAAGAAGAATAACAGGAGAAAATAAGAGCAGTCAGGTTATGATAATTGCACTTAGTTGAAGGATACGTCACTATACACTGTATGTAGAAAAACATGATTATTCAGATATTTACAGAGGGATGTACTTTAGCAGCAGGGAACATGTCCAGAATATTTGTATCATGTTATTTTGTCATCTATTGTCTTAAATATTAGATGCTGTTTGAGTTGTGCATAGCCTGAGTCAATTCTTTCCTCCTTTTATTCACCTTTAATCTGCAACAATGAAATGTCTCCACTGTGGGACGAATACAGGTTTAATATTTCTTATAAACATTTCTCAGAGCAGGATAAGGAAAAAGGTACTAATAATATAGTCATAATAATAGCAGGTAACGTGATCACTAGTGGACTCAGCAGTTCTCATTGTACAGTCTGACAGCAGGAGGAAGGACGGCCTGTGGAACCTCTCCTTCACACGTGGCAGGGAAAGGGTCTCTCTGTTTGCTCTCTCTGGTCTCTCTCTGGTCTTTCTCTCTCTCTGCTCTCTGGTCTCTTTCTCTGGTCTCTCTCTGGTCTCTCTCTGGTCTCTCTCTGGTCTCTCTCTGGTCTCTCTCTGGTCTCTCTCTGGTCTCTCTCTGGTCTCTTTCTGGTCTCTCTCTGGTCTCTCTCTGGTCTCTCTCTCTTGTCTCTCTCTCTATTCTCTCTCTCTTCTCAGAACAGGTGAGTGGCACAGGCCCAGACTCAGCAGTTCTCATGCTACAGTCTGACAGCAGCAGCAGCAGCAGCAGCAGCAGCAGCAGGAAGGAGGGCCCTGTGGAACCTCTACTTCACACGGGAAAGGGTGAAAGAGTGAATGTTCCCAGGGTTCCTAGGGGCCGATTAACACACAGTGAAGGATGCAGAACACACTCCTGGAAGCTCATCCTTGGGACATAATGAATCGATTCCAGCGCATCATTAACAGCCCCACTCCACTGCTCCACACACATATGTCTTAATTAGCTGCTCATTGGCTGTTTAATTACAAGAAAACAGCTGACAGCTGCCAAGTCGCTTTATAACGGAAGCCATTATGGAGCAGACCAGAAGTGCCAGTGACAGCAGCTCTCCTAAATAATGCTGTGATTTATGGTCCAAACTTTTACTCTCACACATGTCATTAAAGGGCCCCGTGTCCGACTAATTAGTGATCATTTATGGTGTGTTTCAGTGTGTGTTTGGGAGAGTGTTTTGAGTCTGCTCTCTCTCTCTGCTCTCGCTATGGTCTCTCCCTTTCTGGTCTGACTCTGCTCTCTCTCTCTGCTCTCTCTCTCGGCTCTCTCTTGGTTCTCTCTCTCTGCTCTCTCTCCCTGCTCTCTCTCTCTGCTCTCTCTCTCGGCTCTCTCTGCTCTCTCTCTCTGCTCTCTCTCTCGGCTCTCTCTTGGTTCTCTCTCTCGGCTCTCTCTCTCTGCTCTCTCTCTCGGCTCTCTCTTGGTTCTCTCTCTCGGCTCTCTCTTGGTTCTCTCTCTCGGCTCTCTATCTCGGCTCTCTCTCTCTGCTCTCTCTCTCGGCTCTCTCTGCTCTCTCTCTCTTGGCTCTCTCTCTGCTCTCTCTCTCTTCTCTCTCTGCTCTCTCTCTCTGCTCTCTCACGGCTCTCTCTCTCTGCTCTCTCTCTCTGCTCTCTCACGGCTCTCTCTCTCTCTTGGCTCTCTCCCTCTCGGCTCTCTCTCTCTGCTCTCTCTCTCTGCTCTCTCTCTCTTCTCTCTCTGCTCTCTCAGCTACAGTGAGCAGAAGGGAGCAGGCACAGGAATGCTAATGCTGCGGCTGTGACAAGCTCAGGGACAGGAATACACTCTGCACTAAACTCCGCGGTGGATGGTGCTGAATCGGAAGCAGTACAAAAGGCTTCACACTGGAGCAAACAGCAACAATCTGCTATAACTCAAAGGCCTCTGCTTTTGATCATTTTAGTTCAAGGGAGACAGTCTGCAACAACAGCAGAACAGCGCTAAGGCAGCGGGTCCTGGGATGCAGCAGAGACGAGCACAGGGCTGTCGGTCCGACCACCTTAACAAGTGTCGTTGGGAGAATTTATGAGCTTACCTTACAGCCTTCACACGTGATCACTCCATAATGGATGCCGGATGATTTGTCTCCACAAATCTTGCAGGGAATTATTTCGATTTGAGCTGTAAACAAAACACAGAGAAGAGAATGTTAGACGTGGCGTATGCATTTACTTTGGAATAGTTTAGTTCTTTGACAAAACACATTTCTACATCAAAGCATCAGTTTTATACGGCGCGTTTCTGGACACTCAAAAACAATTCACATGTCGTTATTCTTTCACTCCAAACACGGTGGTTATAACTACTACTTTAGCCACAGCTGCCCTGGGGCACACTGACAGAGGCGAGGCAACCAGTCTGTGCCATCGGCCCCTCCACCCACCACCAACCATTCACACACACATCTAATAGTCTAACATAGGTGAAGTGTCTTGCCTAAGGACACAACCACAGTTTGGCACTTTACAGCTGAAGTTGCCCCACTGTGGCACCTGCTGTTCCCAGAGGTCTCCCATCACAGTACTAACCAGGCCCTGCATTGCTTAGCTTAGACAGAGGTCTAACAGGATAGGCCACATATATATTCACACAGTGCAAGCATGACTCTTGTTGTACATTAGATATCACATGGACACACAGACACACACACACACACACCCACACACACAGACACAGACACACACACACACACACACCCAGACACACAGACACACACGCACACACAGACACAGACACACACACACACACCCCATCTGCCTCCACCATCAGCCCAGCCAGACACTCTTATCAGATCTCCACCAGGAAACATCACCCTGTGACATGTTCTCACTGTGTCAGACGGTCCTGCATCAGAATCTCAGCCGGATTCGACTCAATGTCAGTTTTAACAAGAATATTATCATAATTCCGTCTTGATAATATGATAATGATTAAAAGCAGTTGCAGGGTGTTTCATCAGCCTCTCCTCTATGGCCAGACCTGACTCGAGCTGCTGCAACGCCTCCTGAACCGTGTAAACACCATCGTACACACACAGGGGCTGCTTCTTAACCTGGACTCTTCCTGAGATCACACAGAGCAGTGTTAACACCGCAGCAGCCGCATCAGCCGCAGAGAGAAAGAGGAGGACCACGCACCATTGAGCCCCACTGGCAACTACATGAATTATATTTGTTAATTATTACACAGAATAAACCCAATAATAATGAAATGATTAATAACATTATCCATATAGATAATATAAACATTCTGAAAAAATAAGCATGTTTTTTGAAATGGCAATGCATGTATTTGTTACACACAGACACACGCACACTCATAGACACACACATACACACACAGACACACGCACAGTCATATACACACACATACAGACAGACACACAGACAAACACACACATACACACACATACAGACACACTCATAGACACACACATACAGAGACACACAGACAAACACACACATATACACACACATACAGACACAGACACACGCACAGTCATATACACACACATACAGACAGACACACAGACAAACACACACATACACACACATACAGACACACTCATAGACACACACATACAGAGACACACAGACAAACACACACATATACACACACATACAGACAGACACACAGACAAACACACACATACACACACATACAGACACACTCATAGACACACACATACAGAGACACACAGACAAACACACACATATACACACACATACAGACACAGACACACGCACAGTCATATACACACACATACAGACAGACACACAGACAAACACACACATACACACACATACAGACACACTCATAGACACACACATACAGAGACACACAGACAAACACACACATAGACACACACATACAGGCACAGACACACGCACAGTCATATACACACAAACGTGCACACACACACACACACACTGGTCTGCTACAGTGACACAGGTGCTGGACTCTTCCTGAGATCACACAAACCAGTGTTTACACGACATTAACCGCAGCAGCCGCATCAGCCGCAGAGAGAAAGAGGAGGACCACGCACCATCGAGCCCCACTCAGACAACAGCTCTCGCCCATTCGGTTTCTAACACAAAGGTCGAGGGCCGTGCTCCTCGTCAGGGTGATTATTGTGAACACTGGCAGGAGGCGGGCAGCGACACACACACAACACACACACACACACACACAACACACATTTCCCCAGCGCCGTGGCTCTCAGCGTGAGCCACTATTGTTTGTGTTGTGGGTTCAGTGCATGTCTATTAGAGGCTTTTGACTCCTTTAACATTTCCAGCCTCATTACTTACATCATTTGCACTGACTGAAGCGTGTAGTAATGATAGTAATGACGGAGAGTGTGATATGTGTGTGTGTGGTGTGTGTATGTGGTGTGTGTGGATGTGGTGTGTGTGTGTGGTGTGAAAGCGGCTGCAGTCCCCGATCCTGCCGTTAGGTGGAAGTGCAGGGCTGTGGGACGCTTTACCGCACGCTTAAGCTTCCTCCCAGCCGCTCCTCCAGCCTTCAGCTTTGGCTCTGAGCAGCAGCCTCTGAGCGCTCCGAGCTTAGACACCCCCCCCCCCCCCCTCCCTCCCCTCCTCCCCCCCTCCCTCCCTCCCCCAGAGCAGCTCAGAGATGCCTTCATCTGTGGGAGACTGCGAGGCTCTCTCAGGCCGGAGCTGCAGCAGGTGAAAAGTGGAGAGCAAAGCACTTTCCGCTGCAGCTCGGCAGATGCAGAGAAAAAGTTAAATTTGAGTCAGAAAGAAGATTCCATCAGCGCCACTTCCAGACTCAAGAATCAAGGAAGCGAGTTTAACATGCATGATTTCATTTCACTTCAAATGCACATCTTTAAAAAGCCTCAACTCCAGACAAAAATATCTGTTTTCTCTGATGCTGCCTCCAGCTGCAGCTTAGTCTAGTTTCAAAGCCACTACATACAATATGATCCAAATGTATTTTCCATTCAGTTCTATCCAATAGGTTTATGTTTTTCACACAGCAAAGCACTGGGGTTATTGAAGCATCCAACTATGAACTGATACTAACCACAAAAAACTGAACGGTCAAACAAAAGGTGCCTCTTAAAGTACTTCCATTTGCTCTTGTGCTACAGACACAAGTGCCTCTTGGTTAGGGGCAGGCAGCTCCAGAGCACTGCTGCTGATCCCATTCACATCGCCCCCCTCTCCCCCTCTCCCCCTCTCCCCCACTCTCGCTCTCTATCTCTCCCCCTCCCCCCTGCCCGGTCGCTCTGTTTACCAGATCAAAGTGGGCACACTAAGATGCCGGCCATGCTGAAGCCCATCTCCGGAGCGCAGTGAGACGGCCCCGGCATTGGCGACTTCAAAGACACCTGCGGCGAGCCTGATAATGTGGGAGTCATAATCCCGGTACGCTGACGTGCACGGGGTCCGGACAGGCTCCCGTTTAGAGCTGGGGGAGGAGGGAGGGAGGACGGGGGGGAGACCGGGCTGTTGAGGGGGGACAAGGGGGGGGGATAGGGGGGGACGGGCAGAATACAACAGAGTGGAAGACAGTGGCGCTGGTTCTTTGTCATGTACGGCCGCGGTTCAAGGTCGCTGATTTGGTACGGAGCCGGTCGAGCGGGTTTGTCACTCACTGCACATGGACAAAGGAGCAGCCTGAGCCCGCCCTCTGCCCTTCACTGTCCACACATGGTCTCCACACATGGTCTCCACACATGGTCTCCACACATGGTCTCCACACATGGTCTCCACACATGGTCTCCACACATGGTCTCCACACATGGTCTCCACACATGGTCTCCACATCATGGTCAAAATACCTTGTTACTTAAAGCTAATGTTTCCAGAAGATGAGATATATTCTGTACACACCATCATAAAGACTGATAATGTTGATGTCCGGATATATTTGTTTAAGTTTTTGTAACACACCTGGATTGATGAACTCCCCCCCTCCTTCACCCGCTTGCTGCATGTCTTCTTCATATTATGCCAGATTTTATGCTTCTATATCATGCTAAAAGTCTGAGTTTTTGTACTTTCTTTTTCATGCTAGAGTTAGAGATTTTATTTAATATAATATTGAAATTCCCCTGGATCTAGATACATATTTCAGGTTCTGAAAGATACACAGCCCCACAGACATTACGAGGCAACTAAAAATATCGTAATTGATGTCATGTAGCATCCAAAACAGAGCTGTTCTCCAAGCTTCCACCGATATAAATGTTTTGTTTTCCGTTCTAATGCGGTGGAAAAATACAACGTTTGTTCAAATATAGTTATAGCCATCTCATTGAAGACGTATTAAGAAAAATATACATTGAGCCCCCAACTCCTAATACTTGGATTGTTCAAAACGGCTGTGGGTCATTTTGAATGGAGATAATAACATATGCTGCTGTGATATTGTATGTTATATAAAGCTTTAACAAACATTACTGACCATGTCTCTTTACAGTCTGCAGCTGTCACGACACTGGGCTTTCTTATCGTCCTCTAAGCAACTCCTCAAAAGGTTACTTCAATATCAGCAACAACGGACGGACCCCGAGAACACAAGGACACGACAGAAATACTACTTGTTTAGGAATAACACACTATGGTATTTTAACTGCTTCAATGGCATTTCCAGTTTGGCAGCGCACATTAATTCATCTGTCGACCGAAGCTCCATCTCATCGTTTTAGCATCTTTTTAACGATACGGCAGACGCACACATGCCGTCAGAAATACCACAAACACACAACTATAACACAACAGTGCAACCACACTGCCATATAGTTCCAGGACTCCCTTGAAAAAGAGGTTGTTCATCTCAATGGGACTTTCCTGGTTAAAACGGTTGAATTAAATATAGCCAAACACAGATCACATGACTCTTTATACAACTTAATTTTATTTATTTATTTGATATGGACACAACAGTTACATTGGACGGACCAGATGCACTGCCTTTAGTGTTAGAGACCAATTTGCGCAGTATAAAAAACACATTGGAATACATGGCAAGAGCTCTAGTGTGCGCCGTCTTCTCTGTCTGATGCACACTCGGGTAGTCTTGCACAGTTTTCCAATGTGGTTTTACTGCAAATGGCAAATAAATGAATCTGATTTGCAAAAAATGTAGCGCTACCTGCAGGGCCTTTATCCCCACCGCTGTCAGACTGTACAATAAGTCACTTGCACAACTAATAATTACTAATAATACTAATTAATACAAATGTTATCTTATCTAATCTGTGATATAAAATAAAATACACATCAGTCAATCAACTTACTTGTATAGTGCCTTTCCTACACAAGGCAACACAAAGCGCCTCACAACCCACATTGCATCAAGCGAATCATAAACATTAAAATCTACTTTAAAATAAAAAAAAACACGAGAAATATTAAAAACAGGTAAAAATCACAAGTAATTAAAAACCTCAACACATTAAAAATAATAAATAATAATACGGGATAAAAATAATAAATAGCCACAATGCATTAAAAAGAGTAAATATAAAATCCTTCAGTTGTAGAGTTAAAATAAAATACACATACACTGAACATAAGTAAAAACAGCTGATACTGTGAAAACTACAATGAAAGTGCTTTACGCCACTTTACGCCACTTTACGCCACTTTACGCCACTACTGTGTATTGACCTGGATTCTTACTCACACTGAGGTAACGGAGGTAAACCTGTACAGCCACCATCAGGGATTGGGCAGCAGTAGAACAAGCATAAACCATTTACACTTTCTTTCTTCTCAGACACAATCCACGACTACAGACGTCATTCTCACCTGGCATCTCTCTCCGGATTGTTTTTCAGATAAAAAAATCGATCGAGAGTATAAATCGCACGAGCCGAAAATGCATTTAAAGAAAGAAAAAAACACAAGTCGCTCTAGAATTTTATGTGTCGCATTTATTGGTGAAATTTGTTGAGTAATTTTCACTGTCAATTATCTGTGAGATGCAGTTTTGATATTCTTATGTTTCATTAAACTGGCCAGTAGGGGGCGCATGAGCAGAGGTAGGACAGTTTTGCTCCCATTGAAAACCATGTAAAGTCTGTTTTGTAGTCAAAGGCTCTCCTCCTGTGCGGTGTACGGTTGTTGGAACAGTCTTAATCGGGGACACTCAACTCTAAGGGAGAACTAACAAATATTTCTCAAAAGAGTCTTGATTTTGGGCATTTTGGGAAAAAACCAGAAGAAATTGCTGCGTTTCATTGGGGTGGCCTGCAGGGGGCGCTTATCTGGGAAAGCCTTGATCCACCTCGCCCGCCTCATTCCAGTGATTTTTTCAAAGTGTCCTCCTTTATATGAGACCACAGTTGGAACATGAACAAACTCTGGTCTTTCTCTATTTGTGCGGTTGCTACAAGCGTTCACCGCACAAAAAGATGGCTTCTTCTTCTACTATATCTCCGTGTATAAACCACTTCTTCTTCTACTATATCTCCGTGTATAAACCCGGCAGACTGCACCTCCAGGGCACGTCACATCCTGTTCTACGTTTGTTATTCGCACCACTGCCCTGACGTCAAATGAAACACAAGAATACAGTAGGAACAAGAATTTAGGTAATATAAAAGAATAGTCACAAAAAAGTCACAACAAAAGCTATAGTCCTAAATTGCACAGTGGTGTTCAGTACTATATGTCTTCATTCTTTGGGATCTTCTTAATAGCTTAATCGCTCAACTTAATAGCCCGGGTTTTTATTTGATATTTTAGGGTAAATAAAAAATAAAGTCTAAAATACAATAATTTCACACATAAGCCACTCCAGAGTAAAAGTCACACCACAAACTATGACAAAAAATACATTACTCACTTTCAAATTGATCCCATATATATTTTTTTTCTATTTCGTGCAGTAAATCCGCCAATCGTTCCCCACGCGACTTGCGCAGACGTCTAATAGATACAATTAAGAACAGAGAGGCACTTTCTCCTCCACAATCCATACAACGGTTTTGCCACATCTGTCGTTAGAGGCTTGTTTAGCTGCCTGGTAAACAGACAGCCAGGGCACGCACAACGACGCACTCAGGCTGAACAAGGGGCAGACACACACACACACACACACAGACGCACACACACACACACACTCGCCCGCTGTCAGACTGTCCGTTCGTTTCAGGCGGTGCACCGGGCTACAGCAGCAGAATGTGAAGAGAGACATGTCTTGGAAAACACAGGCCTCCAATGACAACAGCAGCAAGTAATAGGAACAAAAGCATCGTCGGAAAAGTAGCAAATCCAACCGCATTTCAGATTTAACCCTTTGATGTGCACTCATCGAAGAAAGCAATGTACCTTTCCAAGATGTAGGAGCACTAGTAACACAAAACATTTTTTTTTTTTTAACCTCTAAATGGTCTCTAAATGGTTGAGATGCAGTTTGATGGTTAAAAGTGCCGGAAATCCAGCGATAGAGTTTCCCCAGTGAGATACATTTTTAGTTCCAAGCTTCAAGTAGACTGAGTGGCTCATAAAGTGATCCACCAAATGATTGCGGAAACCAAGCAACAACAACAAATGTCATAGTCAAAGCTCTTCTTTTAAACGGAACTGAAAAGCAATAATTGTGGTCAAGGTTCTCGCTGCTATAAAATCATGATTCTTAACTTTTGATGCCAAATTTGGAGATTTTAGACCTGTTTCTGGATTATGCCAAAGTTGGAGATTTTAGACCTGCTTCTGGATTATGCCAAAGTTGGAGATTTTAGACCTGCTTCTGGATTATGCCAAAGTTGGAGATTTTAGACCTGCTTCTGGATTTTGCCAAAGTTGGAGATTTTAGACCTGCTTCTGGATTGTGCTAAAGCTAGAGATATTGCTTTTTGTGTTTTTTAATGATACAAAACAATGCATTTCTTTCAGTTCAATTATGAATACTGGCTCCAGCTTGTTAAAACATACACACTGCATGTACAACTCTTTCCTATACACACCCGTCCTCCCATTAATACCAAAGAATCCATAGAAAAGTGTTGAAAATCAAGAACAAAATCCATTTAAGGGCAACAATCTTAAAGCCGAAGCCCTACATACGGACTAAGTATTTATACATTTGAGAATTCCTGAATCTATCTGAATGTGGTTGTCTCAAATTCAACTAGATAATCAACATCTAATTCAGTCTTGTGAGACAAATGCACAGTGTGATGTTTGTGAACGCTACAATAATAAATGTTTTGGATTCTTAAAATACAGAACGCATTGAAAAGAGCGTTTGGGGCCGAAATGTGCGGATTGCAAACGTTGGTAAAAGCCGAGACAGGAGAGATAGTTGGATACTAAGACACACAGGCCCATTTACTCCATCCTCTCAGGTTGATATTGATCAGAAAAGTAGTCCATTGGTCCAGGTTCCGGACCGGGACTGGGACTGTGGTAACCTTCTGAAGCATCCATCGCTCCGTCCGCCCGCAGACTTTCATCAGGACAAATCGAGCGCCAAGGACAGGGAAGATGAACAACACGGATGGGCAGCCGATACTTCCACCGCGGCACAGATTGAGACAAATGAGGCTTGTTACGGTCACGGCTCGGCCTGCCTCAGAAC